GAAGAAATCTGATGCTTTAAATTGGTTCTTTTGAACTGTTTGCTTCTGCTACAAATAACTGATTTAACAGATCACTTAGAGTCATAAAACAACATAATATATATACTATCTTATATTTAAGGTACCCAAAAATGATATTAAATGTGGATGTGTTGATGTTTGAAGCACATACAGTAAATGCACTTCTCTTCATCAACTTATCATTTTACATTGAGTACAAGAAACCATTTAAACTTGAACTTTACCTTTTGCTGGTCTGCTTGTTTCTCACATGAGCTTATCGACAGTTCTTTAGACAAAACATTTTCCTTAGTTCAGTCATTGTTATTGAACTGAAATGATGAATGAGATGGAAAACCTGGCTTCACAGGATCATATTCATTCATTCATTTTCCTTCGGCTTAGTGTCTATATCAGAGATCGCCACAGTGGAATAAACTGCCAACTATTCCAGCATATGTTTTACACAGCGAATGACCTTCCAGCAGCAACAAAGAACAACACACACTCATACACTATGGCCAATTTAGTTTATTCAATTCACCTACACTCTCAGAAATAAAGAGAAGCTGTCGCTGGGGCAGTACCTTTTCAAAATGTCCTTATTTGTGGCAGAAGAGTCCATAATGGTACCTCAAAGGTACTTTTTAGGTACATTTGAGTACCAATATGCACCTTTTAGGTACCACTGTAGACTATTTGTGTACAAATATGTATCTTTTAAAAAGTTACTGCCGAAGCACCCGGAGGAAACACACGCCAACACGGGAAAAACATGCAAACTCTACACAGAAATGCCAACTGGCCCAACCAGGATTCGAACCAGCGACCTTCTTGCTTTGAGATGACAGTGGTAACCACTGAGCCACTGTGCTGCCACAGGATGATATATTCTGGCTTATTCACACTTAGGAGCAATTGACAGGCATGAACAGGCAGGAAAAGTACGTTTTAATTGACTAACTTAACTTGTAGATCTGTGCTGTTTTACTAAATCACAAACTGTTGAAGATTTGGTGAATGGGTTTAACCAGTTTTTTTTTTAATAAAGCTGATTTAAAAGAATGATTTATTCATAAACCTGATATCACGTTGGACCATTAGCCCAAGGCTATGGATTACAGGTATTGATGTTTTAAATAATGTTTTAAACAATAGCCATTGACTTCTGGTAAAGATAAACATTTTTCATTAAGATCTACTAGAAAAATGTTTTCTACTTCTTGGTTGGCCTGATGTAACTTAACAGCTGATACATTTTTTTTGTATGTCCAAATAGGGGCGGCACGATGGCTCAGTGGTTAGCACTGTTGCCTCACAGCAAGAAGGTCATTGGTTTGAGTCCCAGCTGGGCCAGACTGTAGTGTATGTGAGAGTGTATGGGTGTTTCCAAGTACTGGGTTGCAGCTGGAAGGGAATTCACAGTGTAAAGCATATACTAGATAAGTTGGCGGCTGCAGCAGCCCCTGATAATTTAAGGGACTGAGCCGAAGGAAAATGAATGAATGAACAAATTATGTCCAAATAGCAATATACTGTTGCTAGAGTATAGCTTGTCTTTGACAGCGTTTTACTAACTAAAACTGTAATATTTAACATGTCATATAATATAATATAATATTTCCTCACACACATACATTTATATATCTTTTACTGTTAGTTTTCACTATATTTCCCAGCACTGTCTCAAATTCATTAAAAACACACACAAATACAATCTTTCTTGCCATATGACATTATTTTCAAATCAGTCGGACTACTGCCTGAAAACTGATTGTTGACTTTAATAATTTCAGTAGAGTTCTCCTCTAGGCAGGCTCTGACACAGAATATTAGAAAATAAACAAGAGTGACATTTAAAATCAGCTTGAATAAAGATTAGCTTAATTATTACAAAGTTGTACAGTCAGCCCAAAGGCTACGGAGTTTAGCATCTTACATCATCTGCTTCTCTGTGAACTGTATACAGCATCAAACTTCAGCAGTAAAACATGGAAAGAAACATGAGAAGAGAAAGCAAGGCCAAAATGGAAATTTAACAGGCCCATTTAGAGTGCTGTCATTCAAACCTGTGGTATCAATACAATGAGCACAGAGCGAAGAATCATGAATAGGAGATCTGAGCTAATATTCATTAAATCTTCAATGCAGAAAATGGCATGTGAGTGTTTCTTATCATAGTCAGATTGTAAAACACACTATTCAGTCAGACCTAAGACAGTAACCTTTATGGCAGAGATTTTTTTGTACGATTTTAATGTTTTGGTGATCAAAACCACAATGTAAAATAAAATAAACCAATCGAGGCACTTGCATTGACCAACACTACCACATGCTAGAATTTCTGCAGAACATTACACCATACGCCTACCATAAAAGAGCAGGAAAAGATAATGCATTCATATATTGTAATTTGCATACAGTTTGACCATGCACATGTTTTTTAGATAATGTAGCACTTGCAAACTGTTCAGTACATATCAGTTAGGCTGTTTGTCAGCTTTCCACCCACTGTTAGCAACACCAGCTATAAAATCATACACTTGCCATTTTCCATGACCAGCAACACCAGCTTTTATCGTTTTAAGACCCGTTACACTATTAGACTGATTTACATACTATGTCTATGCCATCCCACAGTGTGCCATATGGGTTAAGACATTCAAAACCCAAACGTCACATTTCAGGTGCACCAGGATGTCCTGTTGTATATCAAGCCATGATAAGCAGTCTTTCAGGACAGCATGTACCAGATCAGAACAGGTCATCTGGGACCAAATATTGAATTCCAGAGCATCATAAGACACCATATAGACAAAATCAATCTGAGCATGTGCTTTAATATGTTGTGTACCATTTTTATAGAAAGTGACATCAAAAATATGATGCAAACATACATGTGCAAGATAAGACTTGTGAACCTTTCATTTCTAGAGGCCTTGTTTATCCATGAATGTTTAATTTTCATCACTAAGCTTTCCACGACCATTCCGACCACCCTTTTTCTCATTTACACCATTAACGTTTTCTGTTTGTTATCAGCTTCATCTTCACTTTAATTTCAACTCGGATTCCATTGAACCACCTAAACCCCATCCAGTCTTGGAATGCCCCACATTAATGTTTCAGTAGATATCGGTAATTATTGTCTGATATGCCAATAACGATATATACAACGTCCAATAACGCAGTGAAAGCTCAAATCAACAGCTGTCATCAATGTCAAATAGGCATGAAATATGGATATCCATTAATTGCATGAATAAGAAATGTTGGTAACACTTTGGAATACGGGACTCATAGTTATTGTTGTATTTACTAACATGAACAAACAATGTATAAAGCTTGTACAGCATTTGTTAATCATAGTTTAACATTTACTAATGCATTATTTAAATCAAACACTGTGCTTGTTATCATTAATTAATTCACCATGAGTTACCATGAACTATCAATGAACAACTGCATTTTTATTAACTATGTTAACAAACATGAATAAATACATTAATAAATGTATTATTCTTTTTTTGTTTAGGTTAGTAAAAATATTAACTAGCATTAACTACTGTACATGTCCTAGAGCGTAAAGTGTTTCCAAAATACACAAAAATTTAATCAGTGGAAAGATTTTAACATGGATCTAAAATTATAATGAAATATTAAATGTACTTATTTAGTACTTGCTATTATTTTTACGTTTATTTTGTTAAGCAAGCAAAATTGTTAGATATTTTAGTGCTTTAAAAATAAGTTGATGATTGGTTCAACATAATCTTTAATGGTTCTACAATTTGAAACTAAAGCAAGATATATGGAGTTCTTCAAGAACAGAACAATCGGAGAGTGTATGTATGTTATTTGCTGAGAAAACCAGCTAGAAACATTGTTTCTATTATTTGCATCTTATACAAACTTTGTTTCTAGATTCATGTACGGAACAGTTTAAAGCACCCAATATGAACACCTTCATGGTCTCTGAGAAGCACACTGAATGGACACAGGAAATATTATGAAGAGCACAGAAAAATCCTGGGCACTGCCATGTGTCATTCTCTGGTTTTACATGACTGATAAAGATTGCATAACCAAAACATTGCATTGCATTTCTTGCAATCTAGAGCAATATTTGGGCTTCACTGTACAAAAAAAAACATGCATGATTACAAAAGACAGTTCACTACCTTTCAAATATCCTTTTCCAAATGTATCTCTATAAGCCAGAACCTGTTCTCAGCTCTTCTCAAATCAATGGATCTTTTCTCAGTCCATCTTCAATCAAGGCCAAATGTCTTCAACAAATCCACAACCCATGCTATATCTCTCCTTGATCTATCCACAACCAATTCCAAATCCTCTTCTCAACCAATACTGATTTTTTCCTCCATTTATTCTTAACCAGTCCTGAAAATCTCAACAGATCTATGATCTATGACCTTATCAAAACCCAATCTTATCAAATCCTAAATCCATCCTCATTCTATCATATAACATACGTGTAATAGATTCAGCTTATTGCCTGTTGGCTTTCTATTCTTCTTGTAAGCTTCCCAAAATGAAAGTCCCCAAAGAGCATGCACAATGATCAAGCAGGTGAAAGTTTCAAATGCTTCCCTAAGCTGGATTTATTTGATCATAAATACAGTAAAAAACTGTAATATTGTGAAATATTATTCCAGTTATTTAAAATATCTGATCCCTAATTGAAGTACTCAGTATCACATACTTCAGAAACCATTATAATATGCAAACTTGGTGTTAAAAAGGACTTTTTGTTATAAAAAGGTTGTTCTGCCTACTATTTGTGGGAAAACCATGATACATTTTTCAAGACTCTTTGGAAAAACAGACACAGACAAGTCTTCACAGTCACCTTTTTTTTTTTGATGGGCTACAGGAATGAATGTGATTTGGTTTAAATCTGCCAGAATGTTGGACAGCCCATGCAGTTACCCTGCCTCTCCCTATACCCCATGTTTTAAATTTCAGCTCTCGTGACTCACCTGTTCAATCTTGGCGAGCCATTCTTTGTTGCGGGCCAGTTCGGCCATGAAGGCCTGGTGCTTCATCCATTTCCTGTGCAGCTTCTGAGCTTCATCTCTAGCTCCATCGCGAGCTGTCAGCATCCTGTCGGCCTCTGGGAGCTCTGCTCAGCTACACCATACACACACATACACATGCACAGAGCAGTCAGCAGACAGCTACGACACAGACACTCTCTGTCACAATCTTTCAGCCATCACTGACACACACAGAGCACTAGGCCCCATACATTCAATAGCAAAAGAACATTGCAGCACGAAAACCTAGCACACACACACACACACACATCCAAAAAAATGTCCAGAGCAGAGGAGAGAGCAGCACCTCAGCAGAATGTGCAGCAGCAGTGGGGTCTGGAGCTCAGGGGCGGGGGATCCGCTGGGTCCTCATGTCCTCCAGGTTAGTGTCCAGGCCCCTGCAGTTCTGCTGCAGTATCCGTGCGTCAGTCCAACAGCTCAGAAAAAACAACCGGTACGCACGCACACGCAAGACAGTCACCCACCAAAAGCTCTCAGTCTCTTAGAGAAATCTTCCAGCAAACAAACACTGCATTATAATCCCTGGGCTGGAACAAGAATCAAAAGCTGAGTCTTTGCCTGCGTACGTCCGTGTCCGGTTTCAGAGCTGTGTCCAGAATCTCTACGCCGTCCTGCTGTCGACCTGGGTGGATGGGGGTTCGGAGGAGGAGTGGGAGGAGTCGCTGATTTGCGTGTATGTGTGGGGGGGGACAGCAGATTTAGACACCTAAAGACACAAGTTACCCGCTTTGAATGAGATCACGCACTCGGCTAGCATCGCACTGCTGCAGAGGATCCGGCGGCTGAATGAATGCACACGTGTGCTTTTGTGGGCAGATTCTCATGTGCTCAAGTGTGATTGCAATGCAGCATGCTGCAGTCTCTCTCTCTCTCTCTCTCTCTCTCTCAGCGCAAAAAAACCACCTCAATCCCATCAACAGACTTTACTGCAGTGCCTCAGAGTGAGGGAGGGAGGGAGGGAGAGGCGAGAGAATGAGAGAGAGAGGGAAAAAGGGAGGGGGTGGAAGAGGATGAAGGCAAAGGGGGGTGGCAGAGAAAGAGAAGAGAGAGAAAGAGAAAGGAAAAGACGAGGCATAAGGATGGCACATTGGCCACAAAAGGAGATAGAAATGCTGTAGGAGAAATGCACCTCATGCAGGGCAAGGAAACAAGAGGAAGGTGTGGAACAGGTGTAAAGGAAAGAGGAGAGCAAGCGGGGGACATTTTTCAGTGTCACTAGGGACATTTATCTGCACCGTGGGGGCGGGCTAGTGTGTGTATGCGTGTGTACGTGTGTGTTGGTGAACAGTAAGAAAAAGGGAACAGATTGGTTTAGAAAACAACCACAGGGATGCTGAGGTACTGGAGGTCACAGCCTCAGCAGTAGTGTTGGGCAGATGCCACACACAGGGTGCATGTGTGTTTAAGGACATTCAGAAAGGAAGAAGCGTGCAAATTACATGTGTGCTGAGAAAGACAAATTCACTGGAGAGGTGGATTATGTCATTAGAAAAGGTCAGAAGCGAAACCTGACGATTCAGTGGGAGATATCTTGAGTGTGTGTGTGTGTGTGTATAAGGCATCTGTCATCATTTCAAACAGCTGAGTGAGAGCAGAGGAAAGGACACACACGTGTCACTGTAGCATAGCTGCTTCAGATTTAAAGAGACAGACAGATGTTTTAGAAATGCACACACCCAGAAAACACTGATTTGGGCTGCAATTTGTCTGCAGAAACTGGTGTATTCTGCTTTCAGAAACAACTGAAGCAATTACGCATCACTGCTATTAAATAGAGGATTTAGGTTAAAAAAGAGACAAGGACTGTACCATGTGAATCACAGAATATGTATGAATTACAGTAAATTATATGATGATTGTATTTCAGGCCAACGATTATGCAAATGAAATCGAGCAGCATGGAATCAAAATTAGAGATTTGTAGGATCATTACTTGAAACAATTTAGTTATATTTTACATTTAAATGTATTTTACATTTATGCTATCTCAGGGATTTTCAGACTAGAAATTTGATGATTACAACATATATTTTAAAAGTAAGAAATATAGAGAAAAAATGACACAGACAGATAGAAAAATAGACAGAGACAGACAGGTGGACAGATAGACAGAGATACAGACAGGTGGGCAGACAGACAGATGCACAAACAGACAGACAGACAAACAGACAGATAGACAGCCAGATAGATAGAAAGATTCACTGATGCATTATTAAAACCCAAAGTTGTGCTAGTTAACATATAGTGCACTGTTAACAAGGACTAAAAATGTATTAATGACTGTCTTTTCATTAACATTAACAAAATTAATAAATACGGTCATAAATGGACTGTTTTTCATGTTAGCAAATACATTAACTAACATTAACTTTTTGAACTAACAATAACTTATTACGATTGTATTGTTTCTTTAATGAATTTAGTGTGTCCTTACAAAAATATAAGTTTACCCTCATATTTTTTGCAGAAAATTTCAAAATAATTTACTCATCCTCTGTCATCCAAGATGTCTCTCTTCAGTCAAAAAGGTTACTGAGAAAAAAATTCCAGGATTTTTCTCCGTTTAGTGAAGTTAACTAATCCTTTAAAAGTATTCATTAGGGGCTAATATGTATAATTCAGAAGCCCTTTTCATTAGTGACACCGGTGGCCACTAATTAAACTGCAGCCAGCTAATTATTGCATGTGCTTGCTCTCATGCATACAGTGCTGTATGTAGCGCACAAGACTGAATATACTGCAATGATGTATAGAGTCATGCAGGGATGATGTGAAAACCCAGAAGACTAGCTTGCTGCGCGTTCCCAAATGGTTTATCAATGGGGTTCTATAATGTTTTATTTTTTTATGAGTAAAATGTGATTTAATAGGTTTTAGTACACATAATTTGACAATACTTAAAGCTAAACTGCAAAAATTCATGCACAGACTCCACAAACATTCTTGTCTATTTACATATTTTAAAAAAATAAACAAGTTTTCTAAAATACATATTTTTTATACTGATGTCCATTGCATTGTAAAACCAAACATTAAAGAATTGCCTAATTATGTTTACCACAGACATTATTTAATTAACTTAATAAATTGAAAAATCCCACTGTTAAACCCTTAGGAATAAAAGGAAACCCACTACAAATTATTTTGTTTTATGTTTTGAAGTCATCCCCATTTTATTCTAAAAGTGTCTGCTAAATGAAAATATGTATTTTACTTGTGTCATTATGTCTTGTTATTTGCTTAGAATTAAAAATATTTAGCAAATACCTTTGCAGCATTAGAGTGATAACCAGAATCCAAATGCAGACCATGCTGTTGAGAATGATGTGTAGACGAAGATGTGCTGCACACACACAAAAAAAAATGACAGCGGTGAGAAATAACAGCAGTAAAGTAAGCCTATGATCACAACATGAAAGGACTTTTGTCTTTTAAACAATTTCTGCTATGCACCGGCATCAGGTCAGCAGTAGGTCTATTGTAAGTCCCTTTGGACAAAAGCGTCTTCTAAATGGGTAAATGTAGATGAGGCACTTGATGACAGATTTGAGATATTTGAGATTATAGACTATATAGATCTGGCTATGTGAGACCATATTTTGAATGAATCCCTTTATTGGCATGTAGCACTACAGTACTGAAAATCTCTTTATCCTTATCCATAAGCATGATTTCCATGAGTCATAAAATGGAAGAGAGGCTCTCAAAAGCATCAAAACCTTCACCCTCTGATCTTGGTTTGATGAAGAGGTCTGTACACTGGTAATGCATCAGAGGCATGTTGCACAAAATGAGTTAAACAAACTCCAGGTTGCAGAGTAAGATACAGTCTGACAAATCCCAGAGTTTACACCTTTTCCAAAGTCAAATTGAAGCCCCTTTCAAGCACTTTTCATTTGCATTTTCAAAACATTTCCATCATTTTACAAGCGTGGCAAACAGCACATTTACATACATATACATAATTCTACAGTAATTCAATGCTATTTGTTATAGCACTTTTATAACAGTAATCTAAACAAAATTTTTCAAAGCCCAACATTGAATTACTGTTATTTTCCCACTTAAATGTAATTTACTCGCATCCTAAATGTGTCATCTTTCATCTTAAAGTTTTTTATTTTTTTTATTTAATGCCCTGTTCACTCAAACAAACTCAAATGGTGTAAGCTGATTAATCTCAGGTTAAGTGGTTTCACAATGCCTGATATCCAGTTGAAATTATTAGCAAAAAAATGCTTTTAGAGTCCAACCCTGTTCCTGGAGAGCCACCTTCCTGCAGATTTCAGTTGTAATCCATATCAAACACACCTGCCTGTAATTATCACGTGGTGTTCAGGTCCTAATTAATTGGTTCAGGTGTGTTTGATATGGGTAGCAACTGAAATCTACAGGAAGGTGGCTCTCCAGGAACAGGGTTGGCCACCCCTGGACTAGATATTTGACTCTACTTGCAGCTGACTGGTCCAATTTGGGTCTGCTATCTCTAACTCAGAATAAAACTTGTTCTGGAGCAGGTTACACAAAAAAACATTAAAAAATAACCAAATTTCTAGAGCCCAAAAACTCAAGACTTTTCTCAAACTAAATGCATCTGTGTGACATAAAATAAAAACAGTGTCTCTGCATTAGATCATGTGCTAAGGTTTTTAATATGTTGCTTGTTAGATACTGAGGAAAACAAATAACCTATTTTTTTTAAATGTTAATAAAAATGAAAACAATTTTCTCTAAAGCAGTGTGCCCACAATGACATATCTGAAAATGTGAAAAGTTCTCAAAATTAAATACTACAACCTATAATTGTATTAAAAAGGTTCAAATGATTCACCTTTGCTTTGGTAATTCCCTGGATGTCAGCATAAACTTGTCTTCTATCACAATCAAAATCAATGCAGAAGCCTTCAGCTGTTGGACGCCCCCCTGTGGACAGCATGCTCCACTGCGATATGGGAAAAATGCATTTCCATTCCTAAAAAAGCAACCACATAATCAGGGATGAAACTGCACATTAAACAACAATGTTTTCACGTTTTTTTTATGTTAAGTGTTTTGTAAAATTTCTATAAATATTGTGGAAGAAACACTTTGTTTAAATTAATATGAAAAATCATAGGCGTCATGTGGCACAATACGTAGCATGATCGCCTCACAGCAAGAAGGTTGGGTTCGAGCCCCAGCTGGGTCAGTTGGCATTTCTGTGTGGAGTTTACATGTCCTCCCCATGTTCGCGTGGGTTTCCTCCACAGTTCAAAGGCATGTGGTATAGGAGAATTAAATAAGCTAAGTTGAACGTGATGTATTTATGTGCATGCAGGAGTGTATGGGTGTTTTCCAATGTTGGTTTGTGGCTGGAAGGGCATGCGCTGCGTAAAAACATATGCTGGATAAATTGGTGGTTCTTTCCACTATGGCGACTCCTGATTATTAAAGAGACTAAGCTGAAAATGAATGAATGAATGAATGAATTAATTAATTAATTAATTAATTAATTTATGAATGAATGAACAAGCATAATAAATTAAAGAAAGTCTTTTGTGTGAAGGATTATAATAATTTTGAATTTCAAGTCTTTTCTTTACATTGTTTAAAGTGCAGTTTACACAAACTATTTTCGCACTAACGTAACTCGCTCTCTTCTTGGGCTAAAAATGAGCAACACTTTGGCAAACCCCAAGATGTTAATCCCAGGAAACCTGCAGCATGACATTTTCTCAGAATTTGGTTTACACATTATATTGTTTCATTATCGATGTGCAATGTGCAAACCTGAAATAGTCACAGAATATGCAAGGTCATGTTGGGAATGGGATTAATAAAACTCGACCTAATCCAATAGGTTCTAATAATGTGTAAGGTTTTAATTTTAATGTATTTTTAAGCCCAGTGACTAAGACTTAAAGCTAATTTAAACCATTTGACACAAAGTTTGGCACTTTAACAAAGATTGTTTATATATACAATAACAACTATACAGTGTTAATTTACATTTGATTATTGCGATTCTGTAGCTAAATGTAGTTAGAGTCCATCAAAAATGATTTCATTTTTATCTTTGTTATGTTGTGTTCATCTGTGCTTTATTTTATTTGGTATTTATTTGTATAATTTTGTATATTTTATGTGGATGCACTACTGTCATTTTTTCCAATTTTATGCAGGCCTACTCAGAATCCAAGTCAAAAGCTTGACCTGTTGTCAAAACATTGTTTCATTACAAAAAGCTTTCATATGAGGCCTTTCTAGGTTTGCAAATGAGACACATTTCAATCGCTTGCCCTTGAACAACAGAGCAGCAGTCATACACACATACAATGTTTGCTCTTTGTCTTTTCATATTATTTCACTTTAATTAACCTCATTAATCTGCATGAAGAGAGCCAAAGGCGAGCATGTACAATCAGGTGTTATTAATCAAAGCTCCAGGACATGCAATGTGTATGGATGGTTGAGAGGGTGTTTTTATTCAAAGGGCATGTCAAATTAGACTCTGAATCTGCAGGCATGATTTTCTAGTATCATCAAGCAGGCCAGAATAATGTGCAGTGTGCAGTGCAGAAAGCACCTTGAAGTCATTGGGTCAGGCAGATGTTGTTACTGCTCATCAGGAATGACCTAGTGAGTGTCGCCATGGTGATACTGCCAGCCAGCCGCATGCTGCATGTGCCAGTCCATATCAGCTTCTCAGAAGGCCAGCGGGCACACAGCAGCACTGCCGGTGCTCTTTTCTCTTTCTGCTAGCTGCTTGCTTTAATTGTTCTTTTTTTGAAAAGCCAAATAAAAATGAGCAGTTTAATTGTCTTTTTAATGCTATTCAGATATTAAAACGTTTATAAACCCTATTTTAAATAAAGTTTGTTTTTAGTTATTTGTCATTTAGCTGGAACAGCAACAATTGAGGAACATTTTAAAAAAATTAAAAGTAATAAAGAACAGATTTAACAGAGTTTTTGGATTTTAATCTTGCTGAAACATAAATAGCTAAAACCAGCATAAGCAGGTGGGCTGGGCATGACTGTAGCATAAACGGAAGCTGTTCTACCAGCTTGGCTAAACTGGTGTTCAGCTGGTTTCACTGGTCTAACCTTAGACCAGATAAAAAAAAAGTGGTCAAAACCACTATAAAAGAGCTATTTTTCTTCTTCTTCTTCTTCTACATTAAAATGTTACGATTCTGTTTTTCTTTTTGTTCTGTTTATGTTTTTGGTCATTTAGAGCATTTAGATCTTAATTTTATCTGAGCAAAGCCTACCAACATACTTATTATAGACTATCATTTTTCATGGTTCTGGCATTCTATAGGTTCAAATGATGGCAAGAAGAAAATGTGATTTAAAATTTGAAGTCAGATATTTAAAACAATTTACAATGCTGTATAGTACCAATTGACATGTCAAGAATTTAGCACCCTTATTCGTTCCTTTTCTGAGAGTATGCCATCATAAACTGTGAAAATAACCAATCGAAGAAGACAAATTTAATTATTAATGAATATTTAAATGTACAAATTCTGTCTGACAAAATGAGCTGGCCAGTTTGTTATTTGCCTCTAGACTACATTTTTTATTAAAAAAAAAGTCTTTACAGATTCCTTGTTGTTGTTGTTTTGTTTGTTTGTTTTTATTATGGATGATAATAAATTAGCATTTAAAAAAAAAAGTATTTTTTCATATTTCTAAAATTCTAATCTCATTACATTATTTATAAAACTTTAATAACTTTATGTAAAGTTTAAATGCACATTTGTAAATAAACATACACTTTTGTAAACATAAAATAGTATGGAAAGCACTTTGACACAAATGTGGGAAACATTTTTGTTACATCAAAAAATGTGTTAATGATAACCATCTGACAAGAAAATCCAGCAAAAATTAGTGCTTAAAATGTCACTAAAATGCTGTAATTGAGCCTCGTAATTTAACAGAAAATGAGGCAAATGACTGCAAAAAGATCCAAAAAGATCTTTTCATACATTTCCTAACATCCAAATCCCTCCCATTTTGAGACTGACCGTAATGTGATGTAGGAGTGCGGTTTCCCGGCCCACTGAATTGATTGACAGCCACGTATTAACATTTCTCCTTAATAACGCATAAAATCATATCAACAAGACAAGACATGCGCAAAGCAACTGGGATTATATAAATCAACAAATATAATCAAGAATGAGTTTTACATGACGTTAAATCAGGTTCGTTTTGCACATTAACATAACCATAACATAACGGATCTTCCATACAGCAGTGGATATCAACATGCATAGTGTCACATTTATCTTGCAAAAGCAGTGTGAAGCTTAACTTCGTAACGATATTGTGTGACTCATTATCACAGAAAGGCTTGAATTAACAAATACGTCAAATTCTCATTAGTAAAGTTCTTACTGTAGTATTTCCCACAAATGTTACGTGAAATCTGCTTCCATCATGTCTGTCACTGTGCTGTTTATCTGACGCAGTTGGAGACAGGAACACTCTGACAGATGCGTGGGGGAATGGTGGGTGAGGAAAGCCAGCATTAAAACCACACGTTGAGGTAACAAAAACAGCTACAAAATGTTCAAAGCATAAAATTACAAACTCCTGAAAGGTATAATAATAAATGTGATGTGATCTGGTGTTTTGAGCTTAAACTTTACAAAGACTTTCTGGTGGCACAAAACACTTACCTTAAATCTTGAAAAAGGGGTAAAATAGGTGCCCTTTAACTTAGTAAGAACATTCATACGAATAATTAACAGCAGATATTTTGAGGCGTTTGCTCGACATCTAGTTTTTAGTAAAAGCTGACATTCTTATGACTTTCAACAACAATTCTTGCTTAATATTAATGCTTGATAAGGCGTCTTACCATTTTTCTGACTAACGTTCGCTGAATGACAAAAAAGAAACGATGTTTAAGTGTGTGTTTAGAAACGTTTACCGTTGTAGTCACGTTTCAAGAAAACACCGCAAAAAACATTTTTGCAGATTATTATCGAGCTTCAGCGTTGTCGTTGGCATTATAAATAGCTATATCAATGTTCTCACTCATATGTGCGGAGCGGACAGTGTGTTTGGTATGTCGACCGTTAGGTGGTAGCATCATCACGCAGCAGCAGCAGCAGCAAACAGCGCGAGAGTCTCTTGCGCGACCCGGTACTAATGCTCTGAGTGACGTCTATACTTCCTCTTTGCTCCTGCGCCGCGAGGGCAACCATGGTGCGTAATATTGTCCTGTGGAGTTTCATCCTAAATCTGTTTTAATCTTAAATATGTGGACATCCTAGGTTCATACAAACAGCACAATAAGAATGTATACAGTCTCAGCTTCATATTAAATGTTTTATTGAGTCGTTTATATAATGAATGAGATGATTATTTGTATGTATTTAGTGCTTCCCTGACTCGTAATGTCGCCGCTTTAGCTCTAACCGTGTACGATTGTTACAATACATAGTTTTATTAAAGCAATACCCTTGTGCCTTTTATGTAATTGAATGCATTTTCACATCTGTTAACTTGAGAAAATTGTGTACATTTCATGGAAACGCTGATTAGCTTAAATGCTACTTCGTTTAACTTAGCGTGTCTTTAGTGATCTCAGACCGCAGATTTCAGTAATGCTAAATGTGTTTCTCTCCAGGTAAACGTACCGAAGACCCGCAGGACGTACTGCAAAAAATGCAAGAAACACCAGCCGCATAAAGTGACCCAGTACAAGAAGGGTAAAGACTCTCTGTACGCCCAGGGTAAGTCCAGAGAGCTGACAGAGACGACCGGCGTGTAGACCTGACTGGCTGAAGAATTAATTGCGTTTGTTTACCTGTGTATTATAGGAAAGAGGCGTTACGACAGAAAGCAGAGTGGTTATGGAGGACAGACCAAGCCTATTTTCCGAAAAAAGGTATGTCGGTCATGCAGGAGTATGTATGCAAGCAAGGGTTGCCATGTGTAAGTTAAAGTAATATTTATGAGTGTGGGATTTACAGGGTTCCCACACTTCTTAAAGTACTTCAATTTCAGACATATGGATGCAAGTCCTGGAAAGTACTTAAACCAGCACAGATTCTTGAAAGCGCCTAAATTAAATTTGTTTATGGGTTGATTTCAACAATTGTACTGTCAAAGACAGTGACGTTTCTTTAGTATTGATGCAGAACCAGAACTTGCTACTTAAAAAATTGTTAATCTTCTACAATAACACAGACAAATTACACAGTTTATCAGTATTTTAGAAATCGAAATTGAATATCACCAGTACGGAATTCAGCAATTTTATTATAGTTCTTAAAAATGGTCAAGTTTTGAAAATTACTCTGACATTTTAATGTAAATAGTAAGTATAAGTAAAATATTACTACATTAAGGACCTTCGAGATGCTACATATGCTGGGGTTTAAATTATAAAAGTGCTTGGTTTAAAATTAATGGTGCTTTTAAAAAGTCCTTAAATCTGCTACCTGTGAAAAAATGGGAACCCCAGCTTTAACGAATCAGATTGATTGTTTTGTTTTACACTCGTATTAGGGTATTGTAAAGTCATTTTAAAAGTTGTTAAACCATGTTTAATTTATTTAAATAAGCGTATACAGTGCTCGGCATTTTAAACTACACCCCTCACAAATCTTCTAAATTCATGTTTTTATAGGAAGCTATACAATATTGTATCTGTGCATGTACATTCGAATAGTCCGTACTGAAGCCAAATCTGTTCTTATTTAACAAAATAACTTAAAATAACAGTCCAAAAACTAGTACAGCCATTTATGTTATTGAAAAATATTAAATACAAATTTTAAAAAGGAAAAATCAAGAGAAGCAAAAAAAAAACTTGAAAAGTTCTAGTTGGTTTTGTGGGTTGTATTTTATTTTTGCAAGATTTTGCTTAAATTTAATTGTATTTACATTTCTAGATATGTTTGGTGACTAAAATATTATTTTAATATATCTGTTCAATTAGTTTGTTTTGTTTTAATGCACCTAAATACATTGCCTATATTCACAGAGATATTGATATAAAATTCATTTTTAAAATGAGGTGTGCTCAAATATGCAGACCACTGTAACTTAATTGTTGATCAAAGGGTTTAATATATAGTTTATGAAGATCATCAAAAAAATCTAATTTTAGGGCCTCAAATGTTAGTATTATGTAAATAAACAAATGGCTGTTTTAAGTTGAAACAGTGTTGTGTAAATGTATCCAAAGACTGTCATGCAGTCCAGTCAGAAGTAGGTTATGCTCAACTAAAATAGTTTGGCCCAAAGATCAAGTCACTTATAAAGCAGGTCAAATCGTATTATAAAGTGTCTCGATATTGTGTTTGAGTACCCAACAGCAGTTAGTGCATCTAAAGTCAGAAAACCTTGTTTTCTTAGGTCTGACTTAAAATCTGTAAACCCCACTTTCTCATAAGCCGACCCTGCTCTGGTCAGCTGGCTGTATCTATAACTTGTTGGAAACTTAAGTGTTCACATTGTGGGCAAGCAAGAATTGCACATGTATTACTTAAATTGTTTTAACGTAGATTGCTAGTAGACACAAGATTTTTAAGAAAGCGATAATTTGTCTTTTAAAAGACAATGGCCGTGTCCGAAATTGCCTCCTAAACTAGGTACTACATTTTAATTTACTACACAAGCATTAGAAAAGAACATTCTATACAGCATGAATGGAATTCGGCTGTACTGCATCTGCCATTTCCATCATCATGTGATCTCCACATGTTAGTTGCATTGCTTCACTCCCATTCATGAATTCTCTTGCGTGGTATCATGGGATAGTAAAGCATTCATTGGATGCGCATTTCAGAATCTTCCTAGAAGTATTAGGTCATCTTGGTTTGTTTGAATTCAGTTTTAATATATATATATAAAATAAACAGACATACTACTTGGATACTTTACTACTATTCTAATTTAGCATGATAGAAAGTAGGAAAGTATGAAATTTTCCGACACAAATGTCTACATCGTTTACTTTACATTTGCAGACTTCACATTGAAGGAAAGCTACGTGAATTACAAATACGGTTTTATTTAAACCACATATGACCTGCTCTTTGAATCGCATTTGGAGGTAGTGCTTGGCTGCATGCATTTGATCATATTTGCTATGTAAATATCACTTCTGCACACTGATGCTTTTGAGATTAAATTTACTGTTGGTTTCAAACATTGATCTGTGTTTTCTGGACACTTAATCAAACCATCAGATTAATACAAGTGTAACTGGAGCCTGAAGAATCTTTTGTGTTTTCAAATCTTATTGAAATGGCTTAAATGATTATCTTAAATTGATTTAGACTAGGGCACAAACACAGTTTTTCTACATTTTTATCGTATAGATGTTTGGATATCAGGTGTACAGTAATTTGTTTCTCTTGCCATAGGCTAAAACCACAAAGAAGATCGTGCTGAGGCTGGAGTGCGTGGAGCCTAACTGCCGCTCAAAGAGGATGCTGGCCATTAAGAGATGCAAACACTTTGAGCTGGGAGGAGACAAGAAGAGAAAGGTGAGAGCAAAATACATGAACTTACTAGATGCCATGTCAATTAAAACAGCCATTCTACAAGTACAGCTATTTATTATAATCATAATATCTTTAAGGAGTGGTTTGAAGCCATTATTGTTAAATTATGGCAATTTGTGATCTACACCATCCATTTAATGGATTTGTACAGTGAACTGTATTAGCTGGATATGGTACTTTTTGTAAGGGCAATCTGTCAACCACTTTTAAAAAAATAATGTGATGGTTTAATTCATAGCTAACTGGAATCACTGAAGTAACGATTGTGGAAACCCTGGACTATTCACTAAAATAATTAGCAGTAAACCTGAGAGCGTAACCGTGATTTCATTGTCAATTGATTAAAAGAAAATAATAATAAAATACATTTATATTTAATTTAATGCTTGGAATTTCGAATAAATCTTTTCTGTACCTTATTTTTACACCGATACGGAGATGTCAAGCCAACTTATTTATGTAGTAATATGGCAATTGAACTTGTATTATGTTGAATGGCTAGACGTTTGGCACCAAAGCAGAACCACTGAAAAATCTTTCGTGACCTTTTCTAATGCATGTTCTCTTTTCTGTCTTACAGGGCCAGGTCATCCAGTTTTAAGCTGGGCCAAGTGCTTCTTTTGTGGATTACCATCGCTGTCAATAAAAGTTGTATACAGTAATGATGACTTCTGTTTTATTTTTAACATCAGCACCAAACTGTGCTTCCAAAATTAAATGCACTGTTGGGGGCCAAATCGCAGCTCTGTCGCCATAAATACTTTAAAAAGTGTTACTTCAACAACAGACCTGTTATGCATTTTGTGCTGCTTTTGGTGAACAGCGAATTATGCATCCCTCAGTAGAAGATGGATTCATACTTGAACTCACACTGTGTTGTGTGTAGTCAGAGATGAAATGTGGAAACATGCTACACTTTCATTTTTAAGGTGAGGAATTGTACACTTAATGGACACTTATGGATGTTATGTCTTAAGGCTTAACCTGTTTCCCCCTCTCTCTAGTATGTACAGACACATTGTCAGGTCAACCCAGTTAAAATTGTGGAATTTGAGTAAAAACAACAAACTTTTATCAGTTCTTATTGACTTTTTTTTAAGTTTACATTGGTAGTTTCCTGATTTGCTTTAAGCTCACTTGCTCTTTCACAGATTCCTTTATTGATATCTGTGACTAGACAAAAGATCAATTGTTTTAAACTGATTCAATTTCTTCAAAAAGCAGCCCTGAGGGAAAATTCATATATAACATTTATTTTTTTTTACAACGGACAAGAACAAATGTGCTCTGTGCAAAAACAAAAAAAGAGCAAAGGTCAGGAGTGAATCAGCCGTTCTTCATATAAGCTAAAGGTTTATTTAGCTCTTTGTTAAAGTGCTCTCAGACTCATGCATATATTCTCACTCATGCAGAGAGAACTTGTTGCACCGCTTCATAGACTGGTTTGATTTTATAAATGTCTTTGATAAAGGAGCTCATCCTCACGCTGGACCAAAACTGGTTCACAAGAAGGTATAACGGGAAGTTCAGAAGTCCTAAAGGGTGTCAGGGTCGCAGTGCAAGGTGAATGTCTTCGTTTCGAAGCACTTTATAAGTGACCCAGTAAAACACGTTGAATACGAGGAAGCTGAGGGGGAAGACGGCTCGTGAGATGGTGTCGATCCGTTTCGCTTGTTCCACAAAGCGCCGGCGAATGTCAAACAGGGCATGACCGGGTGGCAAACCAGCAAACATGGCAGCAGCTTCAGAGAGAGGCCCGTCTCCAGACAGACTCGTGTCTATCCCAAAGCCCGGAAAGTACAAGTCCTGATTCTGTGAGGCCAACTGCTCTTCCTGTGGAAACAGTGAATGTACATCAGTCAAAAAGATTGAGGCTGCTTCTTAAGGCTCATTCCCTTTATCAGAGGTTCCTACAAAAGAAAGATTCTCCAATTGGTCTGACATATATTATACAGTTGGATGTACAACCGAGACCTAAGAGTCACTGACTCATGAGTCCTAACCCTTAGTGCTGGGAAACACCCACACTCCTATTAAAAGGTTAGTTTACCCAAAATTGAAGATTGTCTTACTAATCACTAGCCTTTGTGTCATTTCAATTACCTTACATCTTTCATCTTTAAACAAAACTTTGATATTTTAAATTAAATCCAAGAGCACCCTCATCCTCCATAGACCGCAAGGGTCTGGAGATTTATCTTGTCAAAACATTCCATTAGGACTTCAATGGTTCAACTCATTACATGAAGCTTCAAGAACACTTGTCTGCCAATTTTTTTTTTAACCCATGTTCTCCACATCAAATTAGAGTTCATGTTTACTATGGGGAACACAACACTTGTATGGCACCTGTAATTTAAGTTTAAGAATGCATAATAATATTTTAGAGTGTTGAAAAAAATGAACTGGTAAAAGAGTGATTTCTCCATATTTTACATTTCTATCATCTACAAATTTGCATCATTTATTACTTGAAACAAATAAAAGAATGTGACCATTCTTGTAGCTGACGCTAATCGGTCAGCTTGTATTTTGTTTCGTTATTTTAAGTATGTCATTATTTGAATGTGTATTGGTTTATGTTTGTTTTAAATATCCTTGTTTCTGGCTGGATTGAGTCAGAGGATCACGTTCCTCCCTGATTAATTTAACCTGCGAGAGTTGGTTCAGACAGCATAGTGAAATTTTCAATGCAGATTAATATTACATGCTCCTGATTATTCTACAGCAATTCATCAGGCCAGCACAGTGAGGGAAATATTGTTTGTATATTATTTTGATGTCCTTTTGATTATGTTGTGTTTATGTGAAACATTGGTTTGCTTGTCTTTTTAGTTTTTTTACAGTGTTCAATAAATAAAACACATGGACATCAGTATTTGGAAAACGTGGACTGTTTAACAGGCGGGTAGTTACACTACTATTCTTCTATTTGTCTCAAGCAATAATATGATGTAAATTCGTAGTTCACCAACCTTGAACCCTGGATGCAGCAACATGTGAAACTTGTCGCACAATCGTGCGTTTCAAGTGGCTGCATTTGTATGCATATAATGGAAGTCTGGGGTGAAATGTGCAGTGTGACCACGGCTTTATGCTGCTGACTGTAACACAAAATAAATGAACAATAAGAATGTCATATTACCCATAGTAAACACACCCTGACCTGACAGGGAAGGGAGGACAAAGGCAAACAAAGTAGTTTTTACAGGTTTTGGCCCACAAAGTGTTTTTGAAGCTTCATATGGTTATAGTTGGACCACTGAAGTCACATGGAACGTTTTCTTAATGGTTTTGGTTCCTTTTCTGAACTTTGAAAACCTTAAGAACATTGCTGTCTATGGAGGATGAAAAAGCTCTCAGATTTCATCTAAAATATGTTCATTTGTGTTTCAAAATGAGCAAAGGTCTCAGGAGGCTGGAACGGCATGAGATTAATTATAACAGAATTTTCATTTTTGGGTGAACTAAACCTTTAACACACATGGCTAATTTTACTTCATCAAATTTACCTATAACACATGTCTTTGTACTATGGGGGACATCCGAGTACTTAGAGGAAACCCATGTGAACATAGGGAGAAAATTCAAACTGCACAGAAAGGCATTCTGGATCAGCCAGGACTTGAACCACAGTTCACCAGTTCAATTATTAGTTTAAAAATGCAGTTTTCTATATTAATTAAAAGTTGACTGTTCAGCAGCCATTACTACAGTCTTCAGTGTCATTTGATTATTCAGAAATCAATATCATGAACTAACACAGGGGGACCCAAACCCGTGGTCCTGCAAAGTTTTGTTCCAACCCCAATCAGACACACCTGGGCTAGCAAATCAACTCTTCATTCATTCATTCATTCATTCATTCATTCATTCATTAATTCATTCATTCATTCATTCATTCATTCATTCATTCATTCATTCATTCATCCATCCATTCATTCATTCATTCATTCATTCATTCATTTTCCTTAGTCCCTTTATTCATCAGGGGTTGCCACAGTGGAATGAACTGCTTGATTTTCCCAGCTGGATGCAGATGCCCTTCTAGCTGCAACTCTTCCAGCTGTGTATGGATGTGAACACAAATCCATACACATTCATTCACACACTTACAGTATAGCCAATTTAGTTTATTCAATTCATTTATAGCGTGTGTCAAGACTATGGGGGGAACCTGAGCACCTGGAGGAAATTTGAACCAGGGACCATCTTGCTGTAAGGCGACAGTGCTAACCACTGAGACACCATGTCGCCCTTAGTTTTTAGGCAAGTTGGAGCAAAAAATCTGCAGGACACTGGTCCTCCAGCAACGAGTTTGGGCACCCCTGACCTAACATATGCATTGAGTGTCATTTTGATGAATGCATCCTTGCGGAATAAAAGTCATAATTTATCATTTTTTAATGTTTATTTTAGGGCTACTTATCAAACCGGTGGCCATGAAATATTAACCTGAGTTGAAATATTGATCCTGTAGATTAGCTAAAAGTGGCTCCTTGTGCTAAATTGGATTATTTAAAATACATTTTACATTTGAATATTTTTAAATATATATTACACTGCAAAATTAACTATTTACCTATATCCTGTCGACATATCTTTGTCTATATCTCATGTAACTTTAAGTCTTCCAATATTTTAGTTTTGGTGCAGTGGGTAGTGCTGTCGCCTCACAGCAAGGAAAACACTAGTTCGAGTCCTAGCTGGGTTAGTTGGCATTTCTGTGTGGAGTTCGTATGTTCTGCACGTGTTGGCGTGGGTTTCCTCCGGGTGCTCTGGTTTCCCCCAAAAGTCCAAAGACATGCGCTATAGGTGAATTGGGTAAGCTAAATTGTCTGTAGTGTATGTGTGTATATCCTTGTCCTCCAGGTTGGGGGTTGAGCGTTGAGTTAACGACCCACCTCATTACAATTAAACGTTACGAAACACCAACACAGTGTGGCTGAACATCAACTTCGATATAATCAGCCTGAAGGTAAGTAGCCTAAGTAAGTTCTATATAGTGTGTGCATATACCCGTGCGCAGGCGCTGCACTGGCGTTGTGCGTTTCTGCTCGGTGTGCCTCCTGTGACGTTGTTACTCTTGTTCTTCGTTTCTGCTGCTCCAGCTTGACCAGAGGCCTGGAGACAATACAAGGACATTTATTTAAAAAGATATTCATCACTTATTCAAACAATAAAAACTCTCTTCCCATGCACTCCACTGTAACCACACATCTGAAATGGGGTCACAATGTACCTTTAAATTCTCCAGTGAGCATGCACATTTCTACAGTAATATCTTTTAATTTGTCGAGACGTAAGTAAGCCAGTGAGCAGACTGCAATCTGAACCGTTTAGTGTTTTAATACTCTCGAAGATAAATGCATTTTCTATATAAAACCGTGTGCTTGTTTTTTAGTCTTGTCTTTTTGATATCTTTGACTAATTCAGCTATCTTTGGCTTTCCTTAGTTTTCCCTTTTCATTTTTACATTTATTCAGGTATAAAGTCTGTAAAATGGCATTGCTGAGAGCAGGAGCTCCCTCTGTCTGCTCTTAGCCCTGCTTTACTGTAACTAAAATAGCTTATCTGATTCATTGAGCCAGTGCTGCTTCTTGAAGACAGCCTATCATGTTCATGCATTTTCAAGTACTGTCAGTTTAAACATTCAAGTGATATTAGACCATTCATGCACAAGACTGTAAGTGATTTATAGTGAGTTGGAGACCCTGAGAAAATTCCAGACATGGGGCCCAAAAATACCAAGTAGTTCTCATTTACTTTAGTAATGTACTTTTGTCTTAATGATTTATTTCAGAATTAATTAAATATAGCCTAGAAAGCAAACAAACAAACTCCCTCAATAATCATTAAAATGCTGTCACACACTTTAATTCATCGTAAGCTTAAAGCTCTGTTAGAATTGATGAATCGTCTGCGATAATAAAATAGCGGTTAAGTGCATCAACATATAACACTGAAGTGCTCGCAGTGACCCAAGTTCAATTTTCAGCTCGAGGTCCTTTGCCGATCTTTCCTCTCTTTGCTCCCAATGATTTTCTGTCAGTACTTTACACTGTTCTACATTAAAGGTTAAAACCCCCTAAAAAAAAAAATATATATATATATATATATATAAAATATATATATATTTTTTTTTTTTTTAATTAATGAATCTATCTAAACAGCACAATATACACTCACTGGCCACTTTACTAGTACTGGGTTGGACCCCCTTTTGCCTTCAGAACTGCCTTAATCATTTGTGGCATAGATTCAACTAGGTACTGGAAATATTCCTCAGAGATTTTGGTCCATATTGACATGATAGCATCACACAGTTGCTGCAGATTTGTCCAGTGGTTATTTGAGTTATTTGAGTCATCCTCCTCTGACCTTTTTCGGACCATTCTCTGTAAACCCTAGAGATGGTTGTGCATGAAAATCCCAGTAGATCAGCAGTTTCTGAAATACTCAGACCAGTCCATCTAGCACCAACAACCAGGTTCAAAGTCACCTAAATCACCTTTCTTGCTCGGGTTGAACTGCAGCAGATTGTCTTGACCATAGCTGTGACTGAAAACGCATACTAACATACTATATAGTACACTAAAATCAGTATGCGATTAGCCCTCATTTCGGAATTCTTTTTTTTTTCCCTTTTTAACATTTCACCTACTTTTTTTGAGTGCCTTGGACTGATGATATTTTCTATATATTTATGAATCTTTAATCCAAAGAGCACCGACACACTGATTACCCCTGAAGTATTTTTGATTTGATACTAGATTTTATTTTCCAAGTGCTGTTTAATGGAGATTTTTCAACACATTTTAGACATGATAGTTTAAATACCTAACTTCTAATAGCTCATTTCTTTTGTCTATGCCATGATGACAGAATAAAATATTTATCTAGTTGTTTTTTGTGAGATATTAGTATAAGTCTTAATTACATTTAAAAAAACATTTTCGCAGCTTGTTCAAACTACCTATTTAAAATGAGCTGAAAAGCACAATTAACTTAATAATTTTGTGCTAGGATGACTTGAAGAGATTGTGTGGAACCCTGCATCTTTTACAGTGTAAGTTAAATAGACAAGTTAGGTTAATGGGGTATAAGCACAGAGACTTTTAATTTCAGTCAGCCAGCCAGCACAGTTTCTGTGCTCGCCTGCTGCTAATAACGGAGCCTGCGTTTAAACGATCACTTTGAACAACACTTGAACAACCAAATGAATGCTTAAGTCTATTTAATTGAATGAATTGTAATTACATTACAACATCGATGCTGTAAAAGGAACCTTATGAAATTGAAAATAGTCACATTAACCTTTGACCGAAAGTTCATCATCGGCTGAAAAGCACTAGCTGTGCATATAGCCCATTAGGCAAGTCATTGGACAACAATGGTTTCAACGATCTAGGAAAAAAATTATTCCTTAAGGGGATTATTAATATTGACCATAACAATTATATTTTAAATCTAAAAACTGTTTTTATGATAGCCAAACTACAAGAAATAAGACTTTATGCAGAATAAACAATATAACAGAAAATACTGTGACGATTTTCTGCCTCTTTTAAACACCCCAGCAGGCACACAACATCATAAAACGTTAATATTAGGTTAGATTTAGGTTGTGGTGTCAGGTGACCAAAATTCAATATCTAGCCAGCATGTAAGGACAACATTATTTTGACATTCAATAAGTCGTCAAATTACGTTAATATATGGTGGATTTTAGGTTAACGTCTTATAGATGTCATAGTGGTAACGTCTACGCATAATCAAGATGTAACACAATTAGACATTGATATTTGGTTGATTTTAGGTTGGATATTGACATCTGCCAGACGTTGGTTTTTGACGTCAACCCGATTTTTATTTCCTAACAAAATCCAACGTCCCCATGACGTTGGGGTACAACATCAATATGACGATGATGTCAGATTAACAAAATTCAATGTCTAGCCAGCGTCTAAGAATAAAGTTATTTTGACGTCCAGTAACATCTTTAAATGACATTAATATATGGTTGATTTTGGGTTGTGTTAGAAAGTGACCAAAATCCAACGTCTGATAGATGTCATAGTGATAACGTCCATGCATTGTCAAGATGTAACATGATTAGACGTTGATATTTGGTTTATTTTAGGTTGGATATTGACGTTTGTCTGATGTTAGGTTCTGACGTCAACCCGATTTTTATTTTCAAACAAAATCCAATGTCCCCATGATGTTGAGGTATGTTGGGGTACAACATCAATATTATGTCATGCTGATGTCCTGTGCCTGCAGGTTTCTTTATCCACTCAGAAATAGTTAGGAAATAACAACACAACACATAATTTAGGGTTAAATGTGTTGCCAAACACACAAGTGGTACCACAATAAAGATCTAATCACAGATTGTAAAGAGTTTGCTTGCTTAAATCCGAACAGTGATGTTGTTTTATTTATCTAGGCAGTGTATATCTCTCTTTCTGTGTGTGTGTGTGTGTGTGTGTGTGTGTGTGTGTGTGTGTGTGTGTGTGTGTGTGTGTGTGTGTGTGTGTGTGTGTGTGTGTGTGTAATCATATTTGTTCTTTTGGGAAAGGAGGTTTTTTTTGTTAGGTGTGTTTGTGTTGCATCATGATGCGTACAGTTTGTGTTCAAACAGCTAGTCTGTGTGTGCGTAGCTAGCATCACATGGACAGCGAAGTGTCTGTGTGTGTCTTTATATGTACATTGTGCCAAGAAGCTTGAGTGCAGTAGTGTGTAAGTTAATTCGTATGTTACATGGCCATCAGCTTCCCTAAGGCAAATGAGGAGGACAGTGCCACCAACTCACCCACTGGGTCACACACACACTCACACACACACACACACACAGCCTGCCCCGCAGGGCGATAGAGGGAATATGGAGGAGGAACTGAAAAGGACAGGATAGTGTAATATTTATTCTCTGTGCTCTTTGCACCAGGACAGTCTCGGCTGTGTCCAAAAAAAGCCACGGTGTTCTCTCAACTAGCTGGTTGAGAGCAGAGTAATAAACAGAGCAACAAAGAAATAACTGCAGTCGGCACATTAAAACTCTTGAGAAAAGTCTGGAAAGACTCTATTCCAAGCAGACAAAGAGCATGTCTGGGTCAAACTGTACCTCAAAGACCAGAAGCAAAAAACAAGACATTATATGTAGCATGAAGAAAATGAAGTCTATTCTTAGGACCATTAAAAAGGCATTGTAAGATTTTTCATGACAAGTAGAATACCCCCCCCGCCCCCACCATGTCCTCATTAGCATAATGCATCTGGATGTTTTTCTTAAGGGTTTGTTTGTATTTTTTTACTGGAACACTCCACAGTTCAAAACAAATTAAAATATAGGTTACTTTCACCACTTGTGCATACATATACACACACACTTACAGTATATACAGATACATGTATGACACCTTTTTAACACTGTTTCTTTGGCTCACAGAGTCTTCATGATGATTAAATAAAACATTTGAAACAAGCTGTACAAGCTATACATATATTTAAATATGCAATTTATTCCCATTTAAGCAAAGCTGAATTTTTAGAATGATTACTCTAGTCTCTTCAGTGTTACGATTCTTCAGAAATCATTCTAACATGATTCTAAAGACTTGCTCAAGAAATAATCTTATTAATATAAATGTTGAAAACAGATTTATTTCGCTCGATTGTGTTTGTGGAAATTGTGATGTTTTTGTTTCTTTGATGAAAAGACCATTTTAAAATCCATTAAATATATAAAAAAAAAGTTTATCACTAAGTTTTTACTTGCAATTTAAATCGGTTTTATTCACCCTTGCTTAAAAAGTATTAATTTCTTTTTTATTTCAGTTGAATTGTAGTTTAAGAATATTATATTTATCTATTAGTGATGTAGTATTTGTTAAACTGAAATAATAGTTTTTTTATCAGAATAAAATTTTTGGTAAATATGTTTCTGAAATGTTTCAAAATATTATTTAAATAGTTTAAAAAAAAAAAGTTGGTGATTAAAATATCACAGCTGAATGGTAACATCACCACAAAGGTAAAAAAAATAATAGGGAATCAGGGATTCAAATAAATACCAGCGGTTCCTGATGATATTTTGAGGATTCACTGAGGATTAAAACATTATTCACTTGTAATCCGCAGCCTCAGGCAAATCATTCAAAATGATGTCTGGTTTGTAAACAAATTATTTTTTTAACCAGTTCTTATTTTTCAAAGTAAATCAGACTAAACCATCTAAAACAGTTCACAGCTTGAGCCATCACAGACATGCCAATTTACCCATACAAAGTTCCTCAATTAAAACTTGATTTCAAACAAGCCCAGCAGTCACCCCTACGTGAAATAAGAAATATGGGTCACACTTTACAATAAGGTTCATTAGTTAATGTTAATTAATGCATTTACTAACATGAACAAACAATGAACAGTACATTTACTACAGTATTTGTTCATGTTAGTTAATGTTAGTTAATGAAAATACAGTTGTTCATTGTTAGTTCATGTTAACTCATGGTGCATTAACTAATGGTAACAAGCACGGACTTGGTTGTTAATAATGCATTAGTAAATGTTGAATTATGATTAATAAATACTGTACATGTGATGTTCATGATTAGTTCATGTTAGTAAATGCATTAACTAATTAACCTTATTGTAAAGTGTTACCGAAATATGAGTGTATAATATGACTTTTAATGCCTCATTTAGCACTTATTTTTCTCTAACATTACATGACCAAACAATTGGTTTGTTGGTAATAAGTGTAAATGTGAACCAAGCACTGCAATAAATGGACAAAATTTCATTTCTGCAGTCTTATGCAAATAGGTAGGTCAATAAAGACTAGTTTGTTGATATGTGTTAGACATGTTGAACATTTATATTTCATGTCAATATTGGTTGCTTTTAAAATTTTAGGGCCCTATCATACACCCGGCGCAATGTTGCGCAAGGCGCGGCGCAATAATCTTTTGCTAGTTTCAGCTTGGCGCAATAGTCGTTTTGAGACATTGCGCTACGCTGTTTAAATAGCAAATGCATTAGCGCTCATATGTGCGCCCATAGGCGTTCTGATCTAAAAAGGAAGGCGTTCTGAGGCGCACTGCTGGTGCGTTGCTATTTTGAGAATCTATAATAGATTTTTCATTAGACCAAAACTAACCCGGTCTAAACTCCAGCGCAGAGTTGCGCCTCGCTTACAAACTGCTTAATACGCACAAGAGAGCAATAGGCAAATATCTTTACATATAAAAAATATATATATTAAGGATATATATAGGATGTAATAAGAATAGATATAGAATATAAATTTAAAGGATTAAAATATTACAAAACATATTATTTTCTAGCCTACATAAATATGAACAATCACTGCTTTTATGTCTTCTTCATCTCGGGAGGCTTTTTCAGTTCATTCATAACAATTTGCTTTTGTGTAATGTTATTAATATTAGCAGTATTATTTATTATATCCATATTTATATTTGTTTTCCTAACAACAAGCTTAGATTTGCCCACCTGTCTGGTTTTAGACCATATGGGGCACAGCATGTGTATTAGAATATAACTCAGGTTTTTTACCACACTTAGTTATTATTGTTAATTAATTCGTTTGCTGGAAATTAGAACTGAATTTAGAAATAGTTTTCAAATGAATATTTGCGCTTAACAAACGCAATTAATTATTTATAGACTAATTGATGTCTGTGCATAAAGGTTTCCCTATCCAAGAGCGAAAGTGAAAGTAGATCCATTATCTCTCATTCTCACGCAGTAGATGCTCTGTTTAACAGTTTTCTGTTAAAGAAAACTGTTAACTGTTAACTGTTTGCAAGTGAAATGCTCAGTTTTTCCACTTAGACTTACTTTACGTCCAGTAAATAGCAAATGCGCTTATGGCGCGATGCAGCTGGCTCTTACAGGGAATGGGAGATGAGCCTCTAATTGGTTTATTCTCAAAACACACCTATAACTCATTAAGAAAATAAATTCAACCCTTTTAGAAACTGCGCCACAGCGCAAAGCGCATTTTCCTGTCCTTAAATTAGCAAAAATGCGTTCTGACACGCCCTGAAAGCATTTGCACACTGCGTTTTGCGCTCTGCGCGTGGACCGTCAAAATAGAGCCCCAAATGTGTTTACAATTTGTAACACTGTGATTATGTAAATAAACAAGTAAGTCAGAAATAGCAACACTGTCTGAAAGAACCAATTCACAGAAGAGAATCAAGTTTGTCCATTTGCCAAAGGTTATGGTTTAAAGGTAATAATGTTGTAAATAATTTTCACTTTCTTCTACAGACTGTTTTTCATTTTGAGTTCCCTTCATTTTTCATCTTTAAATCATCTTTTATGTTTTGCTTGGGTAAAAAATAACATTGAATTGTCTCAGATTGATTAAATTAACAGCATTTTGGGTGGATAGCTATCCCCTTAACAGCATTTTTTGTGAACTATCCCTTTAATAGTTAAGAAAAACTATTAGAAATTGATTCATTACTTTGAAAAGTATAAACATTGGCTCTGTGCTGCTATTAAAATATTGCTTTGTTTATTTAAACCAACAACACTGAGTACTATTACATACTGTATAGTGTTAAATACGCTGTCTCCCAAACGGATTCTGTACACGCGTTTTGAAGAGGAGAGAAAGTCTAAGTTTTGGGTGTGTGTTTGAACAGACATATACACATAATTAATAATAAAAACATCTAAAGATATCAATCCTGGAGGGGTTTTTTTTAAACACAAATAATTTTGTCCTAAATAAGCATAAAAAGTTAGCAAAGCAATTGAATGCTTTCATTATAACGTTAGATGTGTGCATTGTTAAGGTGAATTTGTTATTTAACGAAATCAAACAAAAAATCCAAATAAATGAGATTCATTCATTGCTCTTTAATCAAAATGTGTAAGTTATAAAGTAAATAAAAGATTATTGAGATTTGATTGTATTTCTTTAGAATAGCTATTAATTTTAATAAGCTAAACTATTTGCTAATTTATTTGCTGCTCATATATACTATTTATTTTTTCTTTTGGAAATAATAATAATAAAACATAGTACTATTTACAATGTTTATCTACAATAAATCAGCTCCAGAAGAACATATTTAGTAGTTTGGGGAGGGGAAATAATATCCCTTATTTTCACATCCCAATGTTGACAAGTATGGTAAAGAGAAAACATCCTAAAATGGTCGGGTTTAAAACAAAAACACCTAGAGGTGGGGAGGAGAAAAAACTATAAAGATTGTGAAGTACACAGACACTTTGGATTTGTCCTGGGTAGAGACTGAGATGGGTCTGCTCCAGGCTATCTCTGCTTTTTTGGAAAATATAAAGAGAAAAGCCAAAAACCACGACACAAACTGCAGTTAAAGTCGACAAATTAAAAATGAAATTCCAGAGATTACATGAAACTTCAGAGGAAATGTCTAGACCAGTGGTTCTCAAACTTTTTTCACCAAGTATCACCTCAATAAAAATTGTCTCTCCAAGTACCACTGAAATGACTAGTACTGAAATAAAGTAACGTAGTTGGCCAAATTAAGCAGCTACAGCACTGCACAGTTTGAAAATGAGGCATATTGATATTTATACAACTTGACAACTTGATCACATGACTCGTGGAGTGGCATTCTGAAAAATTTAGATGTTTTCAACTGGGCACGCCTTGAATACGCATGCGCGTCGTGCTGCAGTTCCTACTCATTTTACTAACCTGTGGGTTAAATTTTAATGCTCAAGTGACTGAGATGTAACAACAGAATACGGTAATTTTTTCAAAATAAAAGAATTTTCAAAATAAATGATTGTTCACATCGTTCAGTACTAATTTATCTATAGACCGGTGCCGGTCTGTGGCCCGAGGGTTGGAGACCACTGCTCTAGCGCGTATCTGCTCTGCAAGCACCACAAACCTCTTTCTCTAGTTCTGCCTCATTCGGATTGATTTTTTGCAGCTGATGACTCGATGCACTAAAGTAAACATTCTAAGCACAGTGCTTTGATCGTAGGCTTTAGGAGAACAGCCTATTCTGATCACATCTGTGTTATTGTACGCATCAAATGATTAAAATTGTATTCATTTTTTCTTTCATTACTCAGTGATTCCTCTGCGTACCACTAGAAGTAAGTCCACGTACCACTAGTGGTACACGTACCACAGTTTGAGAACCACTAGTCTGGAGCATGGGATAACAGGATCATGAAAGGAACATTCAGAAAGCAGCTCATGTAAACACCTTCATCATACTATTGTCTTATTCAGATGATTTGATGTACCCTGTAAATGTAGTCACTGTATCTGTTGTGCCACCCAACGCTAGATTCAATTTAAGAAACCCTGAACAAAATGATCATTTTAGCAGTTCCATTTGCCAGAGCAAGTACCCTAGAAATTTCACATTGGGTTTTAAAAGAGAAATAATGCTTAATTTATCAGTTCAGCCAAGCATTTAGTATTCTGCTTCAGTGGGACGTTTCAGATTTAAAATCCAGCAGCGTCTTCCAACTCATGTTGTCCCACATTTTTTTTTGTCTGTGGGAAGAATTGTATTACTCATATTCTGCAATATTCATGACATCACTTTATGCCACAGTTGACCTTCCCTCTCTGCTGTTGAGGGGCCAGAAGGCTTCGCTCATGAAAGATCAAAGGGACGCGGTGCTTGTACTGTATCTTAAGGGCACTTAATGCATGTTGCATGTGCATGACCGGGAAGTGTTTATATGTGCCACTCACAGCTCTGTTGCGTTGCTCCTGCCGCAGTTTCCTCCTCAGTCGGAAGAATTCTTTATATTGCCTTGAAACGAAGTTAACCGCTGCGTACTCCAACAAAGCAGCAAACACGAACAGCAGACACACTGCCATCCAGATGTCAATGGCCTTCACATAGGACACCTGTACACATGCACACAGCGCCATCATGTTATCCATCTGTCAAATGCTGTTGATTGACTGTTGATTTGAACAACAAAGTAATATTGGATCACTGGATAGGTGGATATATAGGTATTTCAAGTTATTTTGTTTAATATACATCTAATAGACGTCTAAACATAGATGGCTTTGCTAAATACAAGGCGAAATTTGGACTGTCAGTAAAAATCAAATAGACCTCTAAGAATAGCCCATAACTAGACTAGTCATCGAATACACAGATTAGATGGACTCCACATGTGTAGTCATTCATTCCTGCGTATTTGATGACTAGTCTAGTTTTGGGCTATTCTTAAGGCCTATTCACACCAAGCAGAAAACTACAGTATAAAGATAATGATGAAGGCAGAGCTCTAAAAGTCATACTGAATGTAAAACAACAGCAGATGTAGAGATGTAATAAATGGAGAAGGGTCTGGCTGGAGAGTTGCATTTGCATCTTCAGGCTTGCACTCTCGGGCTTGCACACTCAGGCACCCACGCTTGCTATGCAAGTAAGTAAAGTTAAATTACCGAAAGACTTTCAGGCAAGCGGCCACAGGTGGCCATTGTAAATGACGTCACTAGCAGAGGAAGCAAGGTTTTCTGAGCGTGCATGTCTGAGCGTGCAAGCTTGGAGGTGCAAGTGCAATACTGCAGCCAGACTCTATTGAATAAATGATCAAATAGTGTCAGCCAGCCAGAATCCAATGCAGCACGTTTTCGTAAAACATTTGTGTTGTGAGAAAATGCAGTGTGTTTTATTAATTGATTGTGTTGTGTGAAAATGCAGCTCGTTTTTTAACAATGTGTTTGCGTTGTGAGGATTTGCAGCATGTGTGCTGTGAAACTGATGAAGATCTTTTCTCAATTTGTTAGCGTTTTTTGTAATTGCACTGCTCTCTCCACTACTGTAGTATAATCTTTGCAGAAGATTTAAATTAAATAAAGTACACAATCTGCCATTTGAATTAAATGCTAAATACTTTTGACTAAATTAAGAAAGCAAACAACTAATGTAAATATTACATCAGTCAAATCAAAAAGTCAAGCAAATTCACCACCACTCCATCAGCAGAATTAATGAGTAATAATGATTAATTAAATAAAAAACTGACCGTCATGTTGTTGATAAGTATATAACGGGTTTTTTCTTTACAACAAATGCAAAGCACAAACTAATAACAAACGTATTTTTATTATTCATTGGTGTGGGCACAAATATATTAATTGTTGCATTTACAGTTATCGTGCTTGATGTGAACGGGCCTTTTAGATATCTATTAGATTTTCCCAGACAGCCCAAAATTAGCCTTATTCATCAGGGATCGTCACAGCAGAATGAACCGCCAACTTATCAAGCATGTGTTTTACCCAGTAGATGCCCTTCCAGCTGCAACCCATCACTAGGAAACACCCATACACTCTCATTCACACACACACACTACTATATATATATATATATATATATATATATATATATATATATATATATATATATATATATATATTAGCTTACCCAATTCACCTATACCGCATGTCTTTGGGCTTGTGGGGGAAACCGGAGCACCCGGAGAAAACCCATGCGAACACAGGTAGAACATGCATGCTCCACACAGATTTGCCAACTGACCCAGCTGAGGCTCGAACCAGTGACCTTCTTGCTGTGAGGCGACATCGATACCCACTGCGCCGCTCTAATAACTTTAACTGTTAAAAGCTATTAGTTACTAGTTACTTAGTTAAAGTTTTTAGCAACTATATATAGCATATATATAATATGCTCCTTGCAGCACGATAGTGCGGTGGGTAGCACAATCGCCTCATAGCAAGAAGGTTGAAGATTAGTTTGAGCTCCGGCTGGGTCAGTTTCCACAATTTCTGTGTAGAGTTTGCATGTTCTCCCCATGTTTGCGTATGTTTTCTCCGTGTTTGCTCCGGCTTCCCCCACAAGCCCAAAGACATGTGCTATGTGAAATGGGTAGGCTAAATTGTCTGTAGTGTGTGTGTGTGTGTGTGTGTGTGTGTGTGTGTATGGGTGTTTCCCAATGATGGGTTGTGGCTGGAAGGGCATCCGATGCGTAAAACATATGCTAGATAAGTTGCCGGTTTATTCCGCTATGGTGACCTCAAATTAATAAAGGGACTAAGCCGAAAAGAAAATGAATGAATGACTATGCCCCTTTTGTAAAGCTGCTCTAAAACAATAATCTTTGTGAAAAGGTCTTTACAAATAAACATGAATTGAACTGAACTTCTTTTAAGCATGAAAAATGCTTTGCTGCGTTCCTACCTTAGGCAGTGATGCTCTAGAACCTGAGCTCTGTGTGGTCATGGTAAGAACTGTGGTGATGCCCAGCCCGACTCGGGCCGGGGCGGCATCCATGTTGATCCAGAAAGAGACCCATGACAGGATCACTGTTAAAAGGCTGGGAATGTACATCTGGATCAGGTAATAACCCATCTGCCTCTCCAGATGAAACTTCACCTCTATACAGGTGAACTTACCTGGATGAAACAAATGATCATGTTAGTCTTATTGATAATTGCTTACACTAAATATAAACCTAGCAATCTCCTACATAGCAACACCCTGATAATGAATAAAAGAACTCTACAACCACCACTGCATAGCAAGAATGTAAGAAGTTTTTGCAACACCTTAGTAAACACATGGCAACATCTCATAAAACCCTACCAACTTCATGGCAAAATTCAGGGAGCATCTCAATCAACTTGGATTATGTGATTATGAAAAATTATGTGACTGAGATAGCACTGATTGAGAACTTTCTTGGAATACCTTTTCAAGAACATAGCAACCCCTTGCTTGGCAGCCACCCAAAACACTGTAAAAACGTTTCCTCCTACAACAAAAACTACCAAATAGATAATTTGCATGAACAGCTTATGATAGTTCCGTCTTGAAGTTAAAGGGTTTGTTCACCCCAAAATGAAAAATATGTTATTAACTGCTCATCCTTATGTCATTCCAAGCCACTGAGACCTTTGTTCATCTTTAGAACACAAAAAATTAAGATATTTTAGGTTAAATCTGAGAGCTCCCTCATCCTCCATAGACAGCAAGGTTCGTGACTAGGCACGGGCTGGTGTAAGATTCTGACGATATGATTTGATAGTTTGATAGTATTGTGATTACTGCTCTAAAATATGTTCTTTTTAAATGTTTAAGTAAAAAACAAGACCTTTTTTCTTCATTGAACACAAAATATTTTATTTTAGAAAGCATTATAAATGTTTTGGAGCAGTAAACATGTCAGGGTAAATAATTCAAATAAATCATTGACTTCTACTGTCTTCATTAGTTTCAAAAACACTGACATCTTCAAATATTTAAAACGGCAACTTTTCTGCTGGAGATACTGTTGTCCTAAAAAAAAAAAAAAAAAAAAAAAAGTTAATAAAAAATCTTAAAAACCGTAGGAACAGTATAGCAGAAGATTTTGGCAGTTTTAAAACCTTGACTTTGCCAAATTGCAGTAAACCTTGAAAACAGTTATCGTCCCATGCCTATTCCTGACTTGTTCAAAGTCCAGAAAGGTACCAAAAAACATCCTCAAAACAGACCATATGCCTTTAGAGGTTCAATCAAAATATTATCAAGCTATAAGAAGATATGTATCTGCACATACAACAAAAATAACCACTTTATTCAACAGTTTCTACTACACGGTGTCAGTATATTGTGCACATTAACAAACACTGTGCATTGATGCATATTAATTTAATAACTGACAACTTAATTTGAGTTCTGAAGATGAACAACACGCCTCCATAGAAGTTTCTAGTGCATTGAAAGAGCTTGATTAGCTGGTTCAGGTGTGTTTAATTGGGGTTGGAACTAAAATATGCAGGACTGAGTTTGGATAATCCTGTTCAATCTGAAGTAAAAAATAATGACCATGCATAAATTTATAAATTACCATCTTTTCAGAAATAATAATAATTTATTCAACTTACCAATAGTTACCAGTACCATTACTATGATCATGTTAGCAAATACAGAGTAACCCCCAGACAACCCCTTAAAACAGAAATCGCAAGAACCCAAATAGTGTTGTACTGAAGCATTAGTACTGTGGTGTTCAGTGCTCTACCAGTGTTGTAGTGCTTTGTACAGTATCCCAAGTCTTTCTCTTCTTTGAGGACAAACTGGGGCAGCATAAGGTCATCAGCTACTTGCACCGGGCCTTCGTCCAACCACTGAAATATCAGATCATTCATAGTGTAGCCAACTAGAAGAAAAGAACAACAGGGAGAATAATAAGCATACAAAGAAGAAATGATATTTAAATGAGTTGTTGATGTTGAGTCTTACAGCTCTCTAACTGCATAGTGCAGGTCTGAGTGTCCATTGGGAAATTCTTCAGATCCATAGGACACGACAGAATCAGCGTGAGTCTAAAGAAGAGACATTTCTGAGTATCGTTCATGTAATAGTTTGAAAGGATTTATGTAACATATACTGTAGGGGCTGACACTGCACCTGATGCTATACAGCACGTTTCCGTTCTGGAAAATTCTCAGCAGCTTGTTGTCTGTGGTGACCTCATGAAAGTTGGCGCCTTTCTCATTGGCGAAGAACAAGTCTGGCTTCCAGATGGAGTCCAGCATGGATGGGTCCAGATCCAGGGAATCGTCTGGGTATTCTTTATAAGCTAGTCGTGGGTCATTCCACTGCTGCCGTAGAAAAACGTTCAGCCGGTAATCCTAATGAAGTTATGTTCAGAAATGAATTAGATGACGTTCACAGCAGCAAAGTCAATAATACATTGCATTCTGATGCTCGGTTTGAACTTTAGTAGATCATCTTAAACGCATCCTAAACGCATTGCTGTAATGTGATTGGCTGAGATACTTGCATTAACTAACAGTTGAAGCTAATAAACTGCCCAGTGTGTGTATAATTACTCCACAGTCTATGTTACTTTTAATTATTAGTAACATTATAGTAACTAATTTATAACTAGATACAAATTGTAATTAATTTAGTTAATTAAATATAAATAACTAATAAAAACTAATAAAATTATAAATTAATTAGTAGCTCTAATATTCATTTAATTGGGGCTGGCTGTAATGTTCAGTTTTTTTTATCTGATTTTCTCTGCTCTTGTGTTACAATATATGTTTTATATGTGTGTTTGTGTCCATGTGTTCATTGTTAATGAAATATGCATCTCTGTAATGTTGGCACTGTATAATAGAGGTCATTATTCTAATACATTCTGACAGGTTCCTAAGAGATGTGTATATGTGCTTAGTGCATGTGTGTGTGTCTTGTATTCATAACATTGTGGGGACATAGCTGTACTCGATTACAGTGATTTACAAAGACATGCTTGATGTCTTTGTAATTCAGAACACTTCAAAATCATTTTTAAAGGGGCATTAAAATTTTGCCACCGGTTTCCTGTAAGGGTTGAGTTTAGGGTATGTTATATGTAAATGTATTTTATACAGTAAATACTTTTGCTGTATAAAATACATTACGCCTATGGAGAGTCCCTGTAAACCACCAATACCAACATAAGTGTGTAATTGTAAGTGTGTACTCTTACATTACAAGTGTGAATGTTATGTTACTCTTACATGACTCTTACATGACCAAAATACTGGTGTATTGGTAATAAGTGTGTGAACCAAGCACTCGATTGACTAGGCAAAAATTTGTTTCTGCAGTTTTATGCAAAAATGTAAGTCAATGAAGACTAGTTTGTTCACATTATATGTGTTAGACATGTAAAACATTTGTGTTTCATGTCAATTATTGGGTGATTTTAAAATATAAATGTGTTTACAATTTGTAATATTGTGATTATGTAAACAAAACTAGTAAATCAGAAATAGAAACACTGTCTGAAAGAACCAATTCACAGAAGAGAATCAAGTTTCTCCACTTGCCAAAGGCTATGGTTTAAAGGTAATAATGTTGTAAATAATTTTCACTTGCTTCCACAGAAGTTTTTCATTTTGAGTTCCCTTCATTTTTTATCTTAAAATCATCTTGCTTTGTTTTGCTTGAGTAAAAAATAACATATTGAATTGCTTCAGATTGATTAAATTAACTATTTTTTGTGAACTATGCCTTTAATAGTTAGAAAGTGATTTATTTCCTTGAAAAGTAAACATTGTCTCTATGCTGCTAATAAAATATTGCTTTGTTTATTTGAAAATCCAGACCAGCTTAAAACACCAACACTGGATGTGTTGGATCTGAGTTTAGGGTATGTTATATGTAAATGTTTTTATTCAGTAAATACTTTTACTGTATAAAATATATTACGCCTAAGGAGTGTCCCTGTAAACCACCAATACCAACATGAGTGTGTAAGTGTAAGTGTGTACCATGGTAGTCTCTGTGATCGAGCCAAAGCTGTTGATGAAAATGTTGCAGGTGACATTTACAGGAGGACCTGAGAAGAAAAACATTATAAAAATGTTTGCATCTCTCTTAAAAACTTCTTATTACTAAATTCAGATAAAACTGAGGTCTTGCATATTGGACCCCTAAAACCTCACATGCAAAAACTGTATAACCATTGTTGGATTCTCAGTTCAGTCCTCATCTTCAGTCAAAAATTTGGGGGTGTTTTTCATAGCAACCTGTTGTTTGAAGGACAGATTTCAAGCATTTTTTCATCTTAAAAATGTTGCCAGACTTCGACATACGCAATCAGTGTCTAATGCAGAAAAGCTTATTCATGCTTTCATGACCTCTATTCATGACTATTGTAATGTGTTACTAGGCGGTTGCCCTGTAGGCCTAATTAACAAACGTCAACTAGTTCAAAATGCAGCTGCTAGAGTGCTTTCTAGAACAAAGAAATATGATCATATTACTCTAGTTCTTTCATCATTGCATTGGCCTCCAATTAAACATCATATATATTTTAAAATTTTATTGACTACCTACGAAGCCCTGAATGGCTAAGCTCCTCAGTATTTGAGGGAGCTCCTTGTGTATTATAGCTCCTAACGTCTACTATGCTCAATTAATTCTGAACAACTGATTATTCTAGAATATCAAAATCTACTGTAGGTGGTAGATTTTTCTCATTTCTGGCACCTAAACTCTGGAACAGCCTTCCTAGCACAGTTCGGGAGCCAGACACACTCTGTCAGTTTAAAACTAGATTAAAGAAACATCTCTTTGCATAAGCATACACATAAAACACAAACACTTTTGAAATCCAAATCCTCTAATGGATTGTTAGGCTGCAATAATTAGGGCAGGGGTGCCCAAACTCGACGCCCTGCAAAATTTAGTTCCAACACCAATCAGACACACCTGGGCTAGCTAATCAAGCTCTTACTAGGCTTTCTAGAAAAATCCTTGCAGGTTTGTTGAGGCAAGTTGGATCTAAAATATGCAAGACACTGACCCTCCAGGACCAAGTTTAGACGCCCCTGTGCCAGGCATCTACGCTTATGTTAGTCCGTTTTTCCTTATCGAGAGATCTCCATAATCCTAAACTAGGCTTTATCCTAAGCAGATGCTGTGGTGGTCATGGAGGAGTGGATAGCATGACACTGATTCCTGTAAGACCCCAGTGACAGAATTGCAGTGCAGTCTTTAATTGCTTTGCCCAAGTGCAGTCTTTGCATTGATCCCATGGGCCAGCCTGAACACCCCCTGGTGACCTACACACCCCTGCAGCTTCTCCACAATGCATCCAGCGTTCTCTAACTCTGGCTAAACTGCACAAGAAGTTTAGCCAGAAAAGAAATAGTTGTCTCCAACTGAGCCTGGCTTCTCTCAAGGTTTCTTTTCCTTCACTTTGGTCAATCGGTGAAGTTTTGTTCCTCGCCACTGTTAACACTGGCTTGCTTGGTTTGGGACTTGTGGAGCTGTGCATCAATGGAGTTTCTCTTCAGTGTTTGGACTTTCAGCAGTGAAATTTAAATAACATTGAGTTAAACTAAAATGAACTTATACAACTCTGAAAACTGGACTCACACAGTTTTAATTTACTAGAACTTCTATGTTTAGCTGCTTTGACACAATCTACATTGTAAAAGCGCTGAAGAAATATACATGAATGGAATTAAAACAAACTAGCCTTAGCTACAGTGTTAGTCTTAGTGGTTTAATCTGACCTTAAAGCAGCTAAACCAGCAAATCAGACTAGTCCGACCATGCTGCAAAACAAACCTTCTCAGTCTGTTGTTTTTTTTCCTCCTTTTTCTGTCAGCAAGAATAACAGTTTTTTAAAGATAAAGAGAGTCTGAAAGCAGAATGCGATGCACGCACATCATAACCGAAAGGAACAATATTGAAAATGTAACATCTGTGCTCACAATTTTAACGTATTAGATTAGATAAACAATTGAAGCAGAATTGACCTGCTGTGTCATCTTCAGAGCCTCGATTACGAAGAGATGCTCTTGCAGCAAACGGCAACAGATCGCTTCTGAGACAAAATACTGAGGAGGTTGTCCAAGACGGTTAAATCAACTTCCAAGTTATGCTCTAAAACGAAGCGTTTTCTTGAACAAGAAAAGCTCACAGCAACCCGGGCTAATGTAAAATGCCTCATTTACTCAATGAACTAAAAGGATGGCTATGCAGATTCAGCGGATACTCGCTCTGTGAATATTTGATTACGCCATTTTATTTATTGATTTAACATTCACGACATTAGCGATATATATAGTATATCAGAAGGGACAATCCCCCACACACGCTGACAGCCGCATCTCTGAGATGTAGAGCACATATGAAATATACACGAGCTCAGAGATGCCCACAGTTAGAGATCACCAGAGAAAAAGCGAGGAAGGGGGAAAAAAAAAAGCATAAATAAAAAAGAAATTCAAGATATAAGTGAGAGAATGAGAGGAAAAGACTTATTTAGGTCTGTGGGTTAACATGCACTCGAGTGGACAGCATGGCAAACTAAAAGGCTCCGATGCCAACGCAGAAACTGCCCCTCACAAATCCTCACATAGGCTGTTGTGACACTTTTTACAGAGAGAAATCTACCGTGAGCTGACAGCCGTATCCTGCATGTTTCTGAAGTCATTCTCATCGTCTGGCACTGAAAGTCTCATATTCTGTCAGCTTTCGCCTGTGGGTTTTTCTCATCGAATGGTCACTGGGAGTCGGTGTAAGGTGGAGATGGTAAAAAATAGATCGGAGAACCCATGGGGGGGTCACACAGTTTAATGAGATCTTATGTTGCTCTGTGTTTTCGGGTCACAGCACTTCTTCACATGTGAGACTCACAGAGAATGTAAATATACTTTGCTGACCACATCACATTTTGCAGAGTTCCTGCCAAAACAATCTACACGCAAGAGATTAAGCTGGAACAGCAGTTTTTGCGCACTTCTGTGTTGCTTGCTTTACATGAGGTTCAAAAATGACCAAGATATCACTGAAAGGGTGTAAAAGTGTGAGAATAAGAGGATGTACAAGACTATAGTAGATAGCCTAGCATATGTTTGTCTGAAAGCAGGATTCAGCAGAGAGGGAATACAAAATGGTACAATGGAGATTTAATGCAAGATGGCCCTTGCTTTATTGGTGTGCCTGCAGAATTAGTGTGGTCTAAGTCTGGAAAATATATAGACCACGTGGAATCAAAATCGACAATGTTTATTTTGTTATCGCACATTGATATTCTTTTGGTAAACAATTAATCTGTGCAAGACAATGTACTGATTTCTATTATGCTAATCTTTAATCAAAGTATGACAATTTGCTTCCTTTTTTGAAGTGGCAGTCCTTTTCTGTTGACTTCAGTTTGACAGTTTTAGCCACAATGGTGTTGAAATAATTAATCAGTTCCATGCATGTTCAATAAAAAGGTCAGGAGAGGTTTTTCTTCAATGTTTAACATATTAGCAATTTATTGGATACAAATGAATAATTCGATCATTCACAGAATTCTGTTATCCTCAATGCAATGCAAGAATTACATTCAGTAGGTGTGCACCCATTTCATTTCCTGATTCGCGCTTTTATACGTAGCTGATTTTAACAGGTGGAGTTTAGTCGAATTCTTCACCTGTCAGTCATTGTCCAGTCCTCTATTGGCTGCACCCATACATACATCCTCTTTTTCTACTAATTCTCTGCACAACGTCTCAACTGCAAATTCTGTGCTCACAAGAAGTTTAGCTGCAGAGCTCAAGTTAATTTTAGTCAAGCTTCATTTCTTTCTGCAAAAATGCTGCATTAGTATGCAAAATATATCACACTAGAGAAGAAGTTCCGTTAATATATCACCTTTAAGCAATACAAATTTTGTTTAATGAAAAGAAAAAGAGGCAAAAATGTGTTTAAAAAAATTCTTTGCAATTCCTTTTCCTCAACAATAGTCTAAACCATGCGCCTCTTAAAGGCATCTGCACCACATGCGCTACTCCCTTCATTTGCGTATCAAATTCGATTAATTCATGCGTCATAATATAGTCACAATAGAGGCAAATTTGCGTCATGGGAGGGGCGTCTCTCTGCCTGGCAACTCCAGTTTCGTTGATAAATGGCTGACATGGATTTCATTGAGAAAGTAACTGTAGTTTATGTTTCATGCCTTTAGGAAGGCTGGAAAATGACGTAGATTTGTTTGGCGCCATGTCTGGGTACATCAGATTTAGAGCTGGGCGATTTGGAAAATCTCAATTAATTGAAAATTTTAACTCGATTACAATTTATGAACCATTTTTTTATTTTCATATTTTTTTGGCCTTATTTCACTGACAAGTTTTGTACAATAAATATGTTCACATATTACAAGTGGGAGATTTCTGAATGAAGGGTGCATTACTTGACTTTAAAATAATTAAAACGGAAACAGACACTATCTATGATTATTTACTTCAATGTTGAACAACTGAAATTAAAACACACATTGCTAAAAAAAACAGTTTTCTTATAAAAAAAAGTTAAAAGAAATAACTTTTGTAAACAGAATAAATTATTTTCAATGATTTTCATAATAAAAGCAGAAAATAAGCAGCATATCCTCTAAATAAAATAACTATTGTATTTCCTGTAAATATTTTGAAACGTGCATTTTTTCATCTTCTGTAAACAAATATTTTCATGTAAATAATAATTTTCATGTAATGGATAATATGCCATCTCAAGGCATCTCTGGCGCAGATGCTAATCATCATTTGTAGTGCAAGCATGCGAGGTGTAGTTACATTTTAACGAAGGCTGTGCCGGATCATACTCGTGCGTTCAACGCAGAAGTATGAATCAGCCTTAACAGAGCGAGGTCATGTGACTCCACAGGCAGTAGGGAAAGTAACTGAAAAAACTGACCAGGAAAAATTTGATCAAATATAGGTTCTGAATTTTGATTACTTTTTGATTAATCGCCCAACCCAAATCAGATCCTTCTAACGCTATCTCATAGCAATTCACTAAACTTTTTGATATGTAAATTTGTGAATTTGTACGAATCAGCTACTAAACTGACAAAATGTAAAAATGTTTTCCTGTGAGATCAGGCTGGATCCTCCAAAGCACAACCAACTCAGTGGGTTCATCAACTCCTCCAGGAACTGCGCCTGCTTGGCAGATGCTTTCACTGTTTTTTTTTTGACTGAGCTGGTGTTCTGTCGATTTGTCCTACCTTGTCAGATTGTCCTACCTTCCCATGTAAAAAGTAGCTAGCACATTTTGATGACGCAATATGCTACACATCAGATTTTGCTACCAGTGTAAATTTGAATGTGGAGTAGTATGATATTAAGCCGTAATATCGCCTTAACCTACCTAATCCCTAACCCCAACCTCATAACCTGTCATATACAGCGTTGGTAGCATAATCTGATGGGTAGGATAAAATGTCAGGACACTGGCCCCAACCTGTCGTCCTGTGTCGGCAGGAGAATTTCCCCTTCAGGACACCAACTACAGGGTTACGTCATAATCACACCCCAACAAAAGCAAGCTCCTAATTGGTTAATGTGACAAATTTCCGTCAAAGCTCTAATTTCGAATCATGCGTTAAGCACTTCAAACACTCAAATTGCTCAATTTGCAACATGTCATTTGCTCGATTTGCATCATTTACGCAAACAGCGCCACAGGATGTCTAATCACGTCTTTGCATTTACTTATGTAAATCACTTACTCTTGGCACTTTATTTAATTCAATTAATGTTTATTTATATAGTGCTTTTACAATGTAGATTGTAAATGTAAAAGCTAAGTTAACATAGAAGTAACATAGAAGTTCTAGTGAAGTCCAAGTACTAGTAATGTCTTGATCCGTGTCTGGTGTGAACCGTTAGTTTGCTACAAGGGAATGTTGCGCCAGCCATGCTCCCTACTCAGTATTTAATTTCAGTTGGAAGTACATTAACCTATTGAAATTAAGTCTCTGCAACTTCCAGTTCATGCAGACTTTAAGGGGCAGTCAGGGCGCATTATATTGATCAAAAGTAATAGGAAAGCTATTTATAACATTATAGAATATATTTTTACATTTCTGTTATTTATTAATTGTTTGAGAAAAAATACTTTCCTAAATATTAGGCAGCACATCTATTATGAACTTTAGTTAGGCTTAAGGCTGATTTATACTTCTGCATTGAGTAATCGGTGTGAACCATGGAACTTGCCTTACTTGTAGTCATGCATTTATACTTCTGCGCGCTGTTTCTTTTTTCGCTGTATTGTTTTTCTGCAATAACACTTCTGAAGCGCTAACTCGCAGTAGGTAACTCGCAGTAGCACTAACTCGCTCTTCGTAAGTGTTTTGTGTTTTTCTGAATGCTACTTTACTGTACACGTAGCTAAAACTCGCTAATTCAGAGGTGGGAATCGGCGGACGAGCAACAACTTTAATCATAAGGTAAACACAAAACAAAATAAAAAATATTTTATAATGTAATAATGTTGGCGCAATAGCCTAGTGGTTAGCACTGACATAGAGACACTGCTCGCTGCAAAGCCACTTGGGCTCCAATGAGGGGGAGTTTGAGCTCCAACTCCTCCTCCTATAAGCTGTTATTATGCGTACACCCACCCCACCCCTAACCCCAACCTCCAGTGATGTCACTTGTAGAAGAAGTGCAAGGAAGGGGGAGCTGAAGCTCAAGCTTCCCCTTGCTGGAGCACAGCTCTGCCCTAGTGGCTCTGCAGTGAGTATCACTTGCTGACATATGGTGCGGTAGCGCTTAAGGGTGTCCCGAGTTTGAATCCTGGCTCGAGGACGTTTCCCGACTCTACCTCCTTCTCCCACTTAATGTTTCACAATAAAACTTTTTTTTTTTTTTTTTGCTGTTTTTGATTAAATAAATTCATTTTTGACAAACAAAAATTTCCAAACGTTTAATCAATGTGTAACTGAAGAAATGTTGGTTTTTGGGAACTGTTCATATGTCAAAAATGTAAATGACTTAAAAAAGGACAGAGTTGAAAACATACCTTTAAAGTTGGGCCTTATTCGAGCATCATATCCAGATGTCTTTCCCATTAATTTATCCAGAAAATCTGATGGTGACATGGGCTTCGTCCTAACACTGGGAGATTTCAGCTCCTTACTAAACACACACCTGAGAGAGATGTACAAAAATAAGCAAATGCAAAATACTAAGCAACATATCTACACCTCCAACAGATCATCATATTAGAGAGCTGCATGTGTGTTTTACAGTGAGACCTTAAGTATGAGAACACTTTAGCATTTTTTTTAAAACCTTAAAAACTTCATTTATATTCAGGTTATATTTCCCTCGGGTATATTTCCCTCCACCACTCATACTGAACAAATGGCACTCTTTGCTATCACCTCTTCCTCTCTGTCTTCAGAAACTTTAATTTGTCAGTTTAATTGGGATTTTAAATGAGCGGAATTACACTGTGGTCTTCCGGACTGTACATGCGTGTGCTTTATTAATAACTACGCACTCTATCAGCTTTCTCTGCTGTTCATTTTAACATTTGCTGGTGTCAAAAGCCTTTATTATCATTCAATTACTTGTGCATAGCAATAATGTTTGCTCACTTGAAAAGGTTTCAAACAAAACATATGACAGTTTTCCTTCAAATCTTTAAGAAGCCTTTAAAAGAGCAGGTCAGAACATCTGTCCAATGTTTTATTAACACCCTTGTCAACTGGACACGTCCTGTCTTTTACTCCATATGGCTGCAGTGAAGACGCGAGACAGAACTGACATTTTTATTGCCTTGGACCTGATTGCAGGTTGTTGTAGGTGTTAATATTTTATAAAGAAAGATTTAAGTAGATTTTAGTAGCAAAAAAAAGGCAGCACTTTCTCTCACACACTTTGAATCTTATTCCATATTTAAAGAAATGTTCTGGTCCAGTTCCTCTTCAATTTCCCTGTGTGTTTGTGAGCAGAACTGTGGCAAATTCGATTTGTGAAGGTATAAAGTCCGTTTCACGCAGCATATAGAAAAATGGAAATATAGCACACAGCAAACGCATCCTCAGGTGAGTCTCACAATCCTTTTATGTCAGTATGAAGCAACGTCAAGTCCCAAACAGGCCAATAATAGTTAAATCTCATTATGTGAACTTCAATAAATCTGCAATTTCAGTAACAGTGACAATGACTTCAGACAGAGCTGTCTCTACGTGTCAGCCTCATACTTCAGAGACCCAGATACATAAAGCCAACAAACACACACACAAACACACACTCAGAAACATAAGAACGCTCTCCGGGATTAAAATAAACCTATCACCCATGAAGTCTACTGAACTGAACGCACAAGCCGAAAACGCATGACTGGACACATAAACAAATACGAAAACTCAAATATTGAGGAGAAACAGGTAGATCTACTGAATTTGGAAGACACTTCATTTCAAGACACTCTCTCCACAAGTGTTTTCACGCTTAACGCATAGTGTTTTAACCAACAAAAACACAGAGACTTGATGAAAACTCACCTGATGACCCCTTCAAACATCCAGCAAACCAGTAAGAGCTCCAGTAGGATCCTCCAGATCACAGAAAACATCCTTTCACTGTTCAGCAGCTGCTTTTCTGGTGTCCCGTGGCTAAATCTCAATGAGCAGATGTGTTTTTGAGGGGCAGGACGCCCATTCTGATGCACTCTGGTCTCTCCTCCACTGCCATCTGACTGAGCACAGCATCCCGAGACGGGCTGAGAGACGACTATGTGTGTGTGCGCGCGTGTGTGTGTGTGTGTGTGTGTAGAGGGGGTCTTCTGCTCTTTCTTTCTCTTTCTGGCCACATGCTAGCCTGAGGTGCAGTTCTATCATGGAGAAGAGAGAAGGCAACAAAGCGTAAGATGCATTTAAAGACTTTTATCAGAATAAACAACTGTGACACAACTTAACCTGAGGGGCTCCAGATCCACATCCCAAGACGCACTCTAGCAGAGGACAAACAGCCATCCATCCGTCTCTCCTGATATCTGCGTACTTGAGCGTTTTCGGGTGGATGATGTGTAACATCGGCTTATTGTTAATAGCAAGACTTTAGGTTCCAATTGATCTAACTTTACATTTTGGGTTCTAGAAATAGCTTTACAGGATTCTTATCGTCTTTTCATCATATGATCCTGCAGAAACTTGAATTTGCTAATATTGATGAATAAAAGTTTATTAAAATAGGGATGAAATAATAATACTGATGTTCTATTGCCTAATTCTGATGTCATTCATCTTAACAGTTGTATATATGCCAAAAAAGATACTTATTCTGAAATGTACAATTGAAGTCAGAGAAATTATCCCCCCTGTTTATTTTTTCTCCCAATTTCTGTTTAACGGAGAGAAGATTTTTTTTACACATTTCTAAACATATTAGTTTCAAAAACTCAATTCTATTACCGGATTTATTTTATCTTTGCCATGATGACAGTAAATAATATTTTATTAGATATTTTTCAAGACACTTACTTACACCTTAAAGTGACTTTTAAAGGTTCAACTGGGTTAAATAGGTTAACTAGGCAGGTTAGGGTAGTTATTGTATTACAATGATTTTGTTATGTAGACTATCGAAAAAATATATAGCTTAAAGGGGCTCGTAATGGCGATCTATTTCTTCCAGTTCTCCACCATTTCCATAGGGACTCCACCATTTCCATAAGGATTTGACACAAAAATCCACAAGCTTGCAATGTAACCTTTTACTTCTCATTTGTCAGGAAAAACAACAAAAATAAAAAAACAAACGGAAGAACTTTTTACACTTTTCCAAGCTTCAATATAAATACGGTTTCGAAGAACGGTCTACCATTAAGCCCCGACCTTCTTTCTAAACTTTTTTCACTGTTGCTTACACATACATAGGACGGATGGCATTATTTAGCATATATAACGTCATGTACATAATATAATATCACAAAATATACCAATCAAATGCTGTATCAAATAGCAATAACTATGCATCTCAATATAAATAATATAATTATTGAAAAATATTAGAAATCTCCTAGTGCTCTTTATGGCTCTAACAGGGATAATATTTCGGCCTTAAAATGGTGTTTAAAAAAATAAAAACTAATAAAAATAAGGCTTTCTCTATATGAAAAAATATTATCAGACATACTGTAAAAAATTCCTTGCTCTGTTAAGCATCATTTAAGCATCAAATATGAAAGGGGAGCTAATAAATCTGACTTCAACTGTACTTATTACATACTGTTTATAAAACAAGGTAACACTTTACAATAACAGTACATGAATAATGATGTAGTAATAAGTAAACTAAACATTACTTTATTATGAATTAATGATGAGTTAATGTATGAACCAATCTTTAACTAACTTTAACTACAACATGAGTCACAAGAGTTTGTGTGTGAATAACCGCTACCTTAATTACTTGCTAGTAAATGTTAATTAGTGTATTAATTAACATTTAAGTTTAAGATAAATGTAACCAACATGAACTTATGAGCTAAAAATGTATAACTATTTCACGACTTTACTTGAAAGGGCACGTGACCATTAACTTATCCTTAACTTTACAGAAACTTCTATGTTTAAAATGTTGATGTTGACAGAACACTTTTTGGTAACACTTTAGTTTAGGTCGCAATGGACGACATTAACAAACCATTACTAATACTACTATCTTAATAAACTACTTTAATCAATTTATTACAGTCAAAATATTCAATAATTACTTTAATCAATACTAATTAGCTGTTTATTAATAGTATGGTAAAAGTAGGATTTAGTAGGGTTTAATACATTAAATAACAAACAATCATGTACTAACAAGTAATTAGGGTAGCTGTTGTTCACGCATGAACTCATGTGACTGATGTTGTAGTTAGTTCATGATTATCGCATACATTAATTCATCATTAGATCATAATAAAATAATGTTTAGTTTACATATTAACACATCATTATTTATGTACTGTTATTGTAAAGTCTTACCTAAAACAATAAGCAAGCAGTTCATTCCACTGGGGCGACCCGTGATAAAATCAGGGACTATGTCGAAGGAAAATGAATGAATAAAAACAATAAGTAAATCACTCTAATATTTATTAAGGTTTGAAATATTAAAATACCTTGCTGACAAATTAAGGAATATTATAACAATCAAAAATGTCAATTATTACGGTAGGCACTTTAACTCATTAGAACATGCAGATAAAAAAAGGAATAAATAGGGGTGGATTTATATTGTCAATCCATTTAACAGATGTATATGAGCAATATCACACTCGTAGCAGTGCGATATGGCTGTATATCGACACTGGTGGGAGGCATGAGTGCCGAGTGCTGATATACAGCCATATCACACAGCTACGAGTGTGATATTGCATTTACACAACAGTTTGATAGCATAATCGTGCATATAAAATAGAAGATCAAACACGGAATGTCTAAAACCCTTTTGTATGAGGAACTATTTTCTTTTGCCATTCATTCACATCTGCAGCTGACATCAGATGAGTAGAAACGGTTGCTTATTCACCTACGTCACTTTAGAGCTAATATTTGAATGATTTTCTAGTGTAATGTCTAAAGTGAAGACAAAACAGGTGATTTTGCTCACATTTTAAGATTATAAGGCTAAACAGCATGAAATGCCATCAGTCTACAGAGATTTCCCTGTATTTCTGTTGCAATCGGGAGATCACAATAATTAACCCCGAAAAAGCCAAAGCAACACAAACACTACCAGATTACTGTTGTGTTTGCTATAAGGAAAACCGCTGAACACATGCGGGCATTTCTTTCTTTTCCTGAGCTAGTTTGCAGCAGTGACAACAGGAGACTCATTACATACAAACAGATGGACAACGAAAAAGTAACTCAGGGGATTTACAAAGAGTGGCCAACACAAAACAAACCCAACCCTGATATGTGAGTCTTATCTCACACTCAATTATATGGTACAAATACAGCACTGCAACATAAAACAGAGAGAGATCGCCTTAACTTTCACTTACCCGTTTAATAATGATTTGATAAGTTATAGTTTAAAATTATACCGTTTTCTTCTCTGAAATCTAATTATGTGTTCTCTGTCGCCATCTTGTGGATGGACAACATCAACCGTCTTTGCTCAATGACAAGCTAATGGTCGCCGAAGTGCTGTCCAAAATCAAAAATAGGCATTATCCTTATAAATAAACTGCATAGTTTCAATCTAAACAACTACAATCTCGACATTAAAAACAGCTGCAATATTTGTCAAACTGTAGTGAGTTTATTGATCTGCTGTCACTCTATGTGGGTGGAGTAATACAGAAGGATGAGGAGGCTGTTCGAGTTCTGATATTGCATAATATTAAATAAGCCAATCAGATTTGAGAACCAGACAGATCTCTTGTATAAATATGTATATATAAAATCTAAAATAACAGTTAATCTCTTTGCGGTTTAAACAGATTCTAGTTTTAAATATTTTACACGTTTTTATCGTCTGTAAATCACAATTTTAAAAAGTAAAAAAAATAATACAACAAGCACAGAGATTATACTTTGTTTAAAAAACTTCTAATCTAATCACATGTATGTTGTTTGGTATAAAAGAGTCTGCTAAATTAGCCAATTTAATATGCATATGAAACAACGTTTGCTTTGTGATACAAGTTGTATTATATGCTATACCTATTGTTTTGATGGTTAATTATTATAGCTATTATTAAGGTATTTATTTTTTTCGATAGTCAACAGAACAAACCATGGTTATACAATAACTTGCTTAATTACCCTAACCTGCCTAGTTAACCTAATTAACCTAGTTAAGCCTTTAAATGGCACTTTAAGCTGTATAGAAGTGTCTTGAAAAATATCTAGTCAGATATCATTTACTGTCATCATGTCAAAGATAAAATAAAGATGAGTTATTAAAACTATTATGTTTAGAAATGTGTTGAAAAAAATTCTCTCTCTTAAACAGAAATTAGGGGAACAAATAAAGAGGGTGGCTAAAAATTTAGGAGGGCTAATAATTCTGACTTAAACTGTATATAATTTATTTCGTTTTTTTTTTGTTTTTTTTACTGCAAGCTGTCTTTTTGAGAGCAACATTTGCAGGAACCTGCTGCTTAGACGTTATTTCATCCTTCCTACCGCTTTACACGAACTGGCAGCTCTGTAGGAGAAAGCCAGGGAACAAAATAAGACAAGAATATAGTTAGAGTGGGTGTAACAGAGAAATCCGACCAAGCTTTATCTTGTGTTGAGTCACAGTGGATAACTAGGCCAGTGTTAATTTTAATGCATCTTCACTCCAGAGTGAACCGAACTAAAGAATAACAGACCCAGTTTTCCTCTGAAATCACTCACACACATACACAAGCACACTCAGTGGTCATGTCGATGCCTTGACCTCAGGAGGAATTGGAGCACATGCCTAAACTACACGACGACGCACTCTTTTTTTGCTTTCGGCTAACGTAATTATCCGAGAGCCTCGAAATATACAAGTCACTGAACTCTACTCATTAAGGCATCTGAAAATAGGAGTATTAACCAATGAATCATGCAATCTGAAACATCAAACAGACACATACATGCTGCACAGTGGTCTCCTCAAGGTACTCAGGCATCTGAAGTGAGAACTGTGCTGGCGGAATCCAGATTAACTCGGGGGAAGAAGTGTGTGTGTGGTTTACAGACATCTTCATATGCGTGGA